CAGGACCTGGCATTTCGCAGATTTAAATTCAGATTTTATTGAAGAAAGGCTGGATCCCATCAAAGCAGACTGCCTGGCCTGACCCAGGTTAGTGGGACTGCCTTGGGGTGGTGGTAGGTGGAAGAGGGAAAGAAGGCTGTTTTTCAGGTGGCTCTGTCTTGGATGTACCCACCCTGCTGGGGCTTTGGGCATTTTCCAGCCATGCTGAAATCCCTCAAATCCCAGGACTGATGAGGAATTTTGGTCTTGCTTGACCTGCTTAGAGCCAGAGGTCTTGGAGGGCAGCTGATGTGGGATGCAAATTATCCCCTGTTCAAACTGTTTTTTCCTTCAAAGTTAAAAGGATACCTGGGGGACACCACTTGGTAGGGAGGATCTGTGCCATCTATCCATGCCCCCCAGCACTGGAGCAGGGGAGCATTAGCAGTTACTGCAGCAGAAGTGTGAACATTGTCCCCAGCTGGGCACAGGGTTTTCTCATGCTTTGCTGTTCTCTGTTACTTGCCTTTCTTCAGGAAATCCCTTTTCTGGTCAAATCAGAAGGGTAATTTAAATTTTGTAAAATCCCCCACAGTTTTGACCCATGTGGGCATTGACAGAGATCTCCTGCCGGGTGATGGGCAGGTGGAAATTACCTGTCACCTCTGTTGCTTTTCCACTTGTGCTTCTGCAGTGCTGGGCCCAGAGCTTGTGCTCTGACCAAATCTTTTGTACAAGTGCCCTTTGGATTTAGCAATTGGCACGGTGAAAGCAGAACCAATGAACCACAGGCTTCTCTGCTGCTGCCTTTAATTAAAAATGCCATGTCTAACACCAGCAGATGTTCCTGCTATCGAGACTTGAGGAATAATTTAATGCCGTGTAACGCAATGCTGACTGTGATGCTTAGTCTGAAAGGGTAATAGACATTATTATTATTATTATTATTATTATTATTATTATTATTATTATTATTATTTCCTTTCAGGGATCAAATCCCTCAATATTTGAAATCTTGAAACTTGGTAGTCTAACAGTACTAATCAATTCCTGCATAGAACGATCTCAGCAGCCCCGTGTCTGTCAAATGAGCACTGCAGCCCATGATGCCTCTGCGACCACAGTGAGCTCACAGAGCTTTGGGTGTGGAGCAAAATTGGCCCCAGAGGGGTGGCCTGAGGAGCAAACTAAGCCTGTTAAAGCCTGTGATTCAGACGTTTGGGAAGAGAGGGAATTCAAAGATGAGGCTGCGCCTCCTCCAATTTTTTCTGCAATCTTCTGATGAAGAGAATCCATCCTGTTGCTTGCAGCACATCGAGCTGGGCACCCTTTCCTGGCAGGGTGCAGAGGTTTCAGGATGTGCTCTGTATTCAGGTGGATCAGAGCAGAGTATCCCCTCTTCACAGAGCTTTGGCTCTTTTAACCCCTAGGAAAACAACTGATTTACAAAACTCAATGGAACTGCTTCCCTCTGCACGCTCCTTCCCATTACACGATGAATCACATAATAATTGTATATTTGTTGAGAAACAGCTGGGGAACTTCACTACATGAATAAAATATCAGGTAGCGGTGTATTTCCATAAAAAGGTCTTTACCAGATGGGCAATGCTTTGAAATGAAGCATGAAGTAGGTGAGGATTTTTTCCCTCCCTTGTCAGCCAGGGAAACAAGCCATCCTTCAGCACAGGTTTGGCTCCGGAGCCCAGCGTTGTTTGGAAATCCCATTTCAGCCCAGCACAGTGAGGATGAGCACTGCCTCAGTGGGGTGCAGAGCTGCTGATTCATTCACACACCAAACGCTGCTGCCTCACTCTATCACACTACTGCTGAAACCCTTTCACTGGCTTTCTGTCATGCAACAAATTGATTTTAAAGCGTGAGGGCCTTATACTGCCTGGAATGGCTTTACTTGTACTTTAAATACTGCATAAACCAAATTTAGAGATATATTTCTTGCTTCCCTCTGTTCCCCCCCATCGTTTTTTTTTTTTTTTTGCTTCTGACTGTCCAGTTCGTTGCAGTAACTCACTGCTGAAGAAGACATTTCTTAGATTTCCAAGAGCGCCAGCTCCTTAACCTTTATAAAATTAAGGAGAATGAATAATTTGTGACTTTTACATCTTTCTTGAACGCAAGTATTTGTTAGATGCCGGCTGCCCAGGGCAGTGCTTTACCTCAGTTTAACTTAGTTGTAAAGGTTTGTAAATTCCCACATAATGTCTCAGCACAATGGAAACTATTGCATCTGTGGATTTATTGAGAGAGATGCGAAACATATTTCAGCTGGAGGAAAGGAAGAGGAGGCACTTATCTGCTTCACTGTGCTATACAGTATATATCAGCATCTCATATTTTGTGAACATAAATGCCAGGTTGACTCAGGAGATCTATGGATCAAGTGTTGTTTGTAACCTGCCCCGAATGCTTCAAATTGTGTTAAAGTTTCATCTCAGCAGTGAGGCTTTTTGCCATCTTTCAGGATCCCTGGTGCACTGGGAGCTGCTGGGAGTTGGGTTTTTGGAGCACAGCATGAGCCAAGTAACAGGGAATAGGATGTAAAGGTCGCACCTGGCAACTCTGCATTCTTAAGGGAAAAATGACAGACTTAGCTTATTTTGTGAGTTTATCCTGGTTTTGGCAATGTGAGGGAGCAAATCCCTGTCCCAGCTCCACCCCTGCAACCCAAGGAAAGGAGTGAGTGTGCCGATGTGTCTGTCCCTTGCTGTCACATCCTGCATCCAGCTCTGTCGGTGCATGCACACAGGGTGGGAAGACGCACCACGGGACGTGCCAGTCCCCTGGCTCGCAGGACTTGGGACAAACTCCTCTTTGAGCAGCGCACCTTTACCTGCCCAAGCCAGAAAAGGAGGACGCTGTGCCCGCAGCAGCTCATTGCACCCAGATCCTGCCAGACACGCATCCGAGCCGCCTGCCGGCCGCGAGCAGGCGAGAGCCGCACGCGTCCCTCGCAAGGCGCGCTCGGTAACGCGAGGAGCTTGTGGCGCTCCCACGCCGGCTGCTGCTTTCCCCAGCGCCGCTCCCCCGGCGGCTCCGCCCGCCGCAGGTGGCGGAGGGGACGCGGCGCCGTGCCATTAGCGCAGCGGGCTTCGCTGAGCGCCAGGATGCGAAGCCCATTGCGGACTCACCGCCGCACTTGTCCCAGCTGGGGCCGAGCGCGCTGAGGCAGCTCCTGCCAACAGCCGCGCTCCCCGCGCCGGGGAACCAGCGAGCGCGGACCGGCGTGTGGCATCCATCCCGCCCTGCCCAGGTTCTCTGAGGGCAGCGTCACCTGCAAAGGCTGCTCTGGGACCTTTCAGCGCCTCCATGGATTCCTCTCTCACTGATGGGGACTGCCAGTTACCACACGTGCAGAGAGCGGGATGCTGCTTCGCGCTGTGATGTGTCGGCTTTGCCCCACCGCAGCAAACGTTCTTCAGGGTACTGAGGGTCTTCACAATTCCACATCCTGTGTGGAGCCCACTTCCCCGCACCTCTGGCTCATAGTGGTAAAAAAGATAAATATTTAGTCTTCCCTAAATAAAGGAAAAAAAAAATTCATAACTTAGATCATCCCCGGTGTTAGGTGCCGTGGATGCAACAAGCTAAGAAAGCAGAGGAGTGTGACCCTTGAAAACTGGAGAACCTCCCTCTTGGAAGACATTAATAACGTATTAAGAAATATTTTCAGCCCTGATTTAGCACCCATTTAAGTAAAACTCCTTCTGTCTAGATAGGGTAAGGTTGAGACACCCCTCTGATGGCTGTTTTCTACGACTGTCACAAACCAAATTTTGCAGCTCCATGCCGCCATGTCCTTTTATGATGAAGTTCCTTCAAAGAATAACTTGCTCGCTTTAATCATGTTTTCTCTGAGATTTATGGCTTGATGCTTATTCACTGGTGGAGCTTCTCCACGTGAAATGTCAGTAAGCCCATTATAAATTGCTCCTGGCATTCCTGCTCTATCTTTTACTTGGCCAGGAGTATTTCTACCTGAAAGTGATAAATTCCTGCTATAACTACTTTATGTGCTCCAGTAATTACGCTGTAGAGAGATGGCGGGGGCTGCATCTCTGTGTAGGTACCACACTTAAAAAATATCAACCTGCAAAAGTGGGAGATTGGGCTGTGGCTTGGGGTGCTGCAGGACACACAGGCTGAGGGAAAAAAACACCCTGGAAACCCAAAATAACAGTGACTGGTGATGTGTCTCTGCCAGATATTTATATTTATGCTGGGTTAGACATGTTTGTCATAGACACACAGCCACTGGGAAGACGGACATAGGAGCAGCAGGTCAGAAGAGGGGCAGCAGAGCTGGGAAGGGGCTGGAGCAGCTGAGGGAGCTGGGCAGGGGCTCAGCCTGGAGCAAAGGAGGCTCAGGGGGACCCTGTGGCTCTGCACAGCTCCTGACAGGAGGGGACAGCCGGGGGGTCGGGATCTGCTCCAGGGAACAGGGATGGGACATGGGGAAATGGCTTTGAGCTGTTTGAACATGCATCGTCATTTGCCCCTAAAGTTCCGAAGTTCAGACACTCGGGGTGCTGCAATAGACATAGAGACTTGTACGGGCCCATTTCTCCTATTACCCTAAAGTTCAGAAATTTAAACTGTCTGGGTCCTGTAACAAAAGACCCGTTTTTCCTCCCTGTCAAGTCATTCTTTCAGATCTACTCATTCCTGAAGACATTAAGAGTCTATTTTCTCTGTAATTACTGAAGACTCCCACCCATGGAGTCGCACGTGAAGACACTTAGCACCCAATTTTCCTGCCACACCCCAGCTGACCCAGCGTCCCTGACCCCGAGTTTCGCCCGGCCCGCCATTTCCCCGGCGCTCCCCTCACGGCCGGCCCCGCCCCGCTCCCGGCGCGCGGGAAACGCTGAGCGCGGGCAGCGCGCGCGGTGCCCGCGCCTGCGCAGCGGCGGCGGGCGGGGGATTCGGAGCGGCGGCGGGAAGCGCTGAGGGAACGCAGGGCTGAGGTCGGAGCTGCTGAGGGAAGCGCTGTGAGGGAAGCGATGAGGGAGGCGCTGCGCGGGCGCTCGGGCAACCAGCCGGCCCCAGGCAGCCCCCTCCGCCCCGCCGCCCCCTCCATGGCACTGCCCGGCCACCCCTGGTCTCACACCCGCGTGGCGCTGGGGCGGCTGGAGAGGGCACTGAGCTGCTCCCGCTGGTAATGGATGTCCTCCTTCCCCCTTTCCCCACTAACCCCGTCTTCCCCCACGGGTCCTGCCGTGTGTGTTAAAAGTGCCGCGCTTCTCTTTGCCCACAGCGGCGGTGTCCTGCGGGAGCCCGTGTCCCTGGGGCAGTGCGAGCACGTCTTCTGCCTGTGAGTACCGGGGCTCGCCTGCTGTGGGAAGGGCGGGGAGGTGGGCAGCGCTGCGGCCGTCCGGGGAGCTGAGGGGGAGGGCAGCGGGAGCTGCTGCTCCCCCGGGGGTCCCGTGCTTCAGGATGCTGGCCAAGTGTGAAGGGAACTTTCAGTATGGTGGAGGGAATTGTCTGCTTGTAGTGGGGTAGAATTCCAAAACAACCTGCAGTTCGCATCACCCTCAACTCCTTCTTTCTCCCCACGTAAAGAAAAAAGAGCAGCTTGGGAAGGCGTTTCCTGTTTCCAGCCTCTGCCACCAGAGGGTTGGGTGGTGCTTGTTGTTGGTTTGGCCTTCTACCAAGACTTTGCTCCTCCAGTTCTGCCTCCGTGCCTGTTGCTGTTTTCACACGCATCCAAACACGTTGGCAGGCTTACCTGTGCTTAGAGTTGGTCAAATAATCTGACTGCTTCCAAAAACTGACTTAAATTAGACACGTTCTGCCAATACGGTGCTTCTGAGGTGGTGGTGGTCTTGTCGCCTGTCATGGGACAACTCTCTGCATTGTCACTACAGGCAGAGGCTGGAATGTTTGTGCCCCAGAGCTGCCTCTGGGTGAGCTGGGGGAGCCTTTTGGCCACCGTGTATGTGGCTGTTCTTCACGGCATGTACATACAAACACGGGGAGTTAAAGGGTCTGTCTTAAAGTTTCTCTTCACAGCATAGGTGTAAGCAGTCTGATAAAATCCTACCTTTGCTAGGGTGAAGAAGAAAGATACTGTCTAACCTCTACTTGTAAACCAGCATAGATATTCAGCTTTGTCCTCTTAATCTATAGTCAGTATGTCAGTTAAAACTGAAGAAACCCTCCCTCCCTCATGGATGTGTATCTGCTACCTATCTTCAGCTGCACTTTTCTAATAGGAGTTTTCAGTGTTGAAGGCCTGAAAGGTAAAATACAAGTAGAATATTTACTGGCTCTTTAAGGAGTAACTGATTATGGGACTGATTATGAGATGCTCTCAGCATCTCTTCCTCCCAGTATGCACATGCTAAAAGGTGCACAGTTGATGAATTTCTCTCCAGACACGTGTTCTTTCCCAGCTGTGGCCATTAATTGATGTAGCAGAGTCCTGAAGAGGGACCTTTCACAGGAGCACATAGGGACCGACTAGGGGGAATGGCTTCACGCTGAAAGAGAGCAGGTTTACATTGGATATTAGGAAGAAATTCTTCCCTGTGAGGGCAGTGATGCCCTGGCACAGACTGCCCAGAGAAGCTGTGGCTGCCCCAACCCTGGAAGTGTCCAAGGCCTGGTTGGATGGGGCTTGGAGCAACCTTGGGATAGTGGAAGGTGTCCCTGCCCATGGCAGGGGGTGAAATGACATGGGCTTTAGGGTCCCTCCCAGCCGGAATCATTCTGTGATTATGCTGTTTGAAGGAAATATTTAAACTACTTATTTCATTTATAAAACCTGTCTACAGGTTATTTTGTAAAATAACTCCCAGAAACTTGTCAACATTTTTTATAAACATGAACATGTGGTTTAATAAATGTAATTGTTCAGCTGTTGGGCATCTAAGGCCTTGTGGTTTTATTTTGTTTTCTAGGTCATAGATTTAAATCACCCACTGTTAGTTAAAGTTTAAAGTTAAAGTTTTGTGAGGTTTTTAAAGACATTGCCAAATATCAAGAGGACAATGCAGTTTTGTATTGATGAGGCTGGAAAGAACAGTTTAACAGGAGTCTTAAGCAATCATTAGCAGCTATTTCTTGCTCCACAAAAAGGACTTGCTGTTATCCGAGTTATTGTTGTGCCTGATTTTTTCTCTCTTGTATGCATCACCTTTTAGCAGCAACTTCATCTGTCCTTTTATGACTGCTTGTTGGGCAGTGGCTATTTTTAAAAATAAACCTAAGGAAATTCAGATTAATTTCTTTAAAGCAAATTAGGTATTTTCAATAATATTTGCAGCTACTATGAACTACTTTTAAAACTAAATTACATAAAATCACAATGTATTTGCCACACGTTTATGATCTCTCCAGGTTACTGCTATATCATTTAGGACTCGGGTGTTTGCCTGCATATTGTCCATTGATGTTTAACTGTTGAAAGACAAACTTCCAGTACTTTTTTTATTACCCTGGAGTCAAAATGAGTTAAATTCTGTTCTATCTGGAACTTTTAAAGGAACACTCTCAACTGTGACTTTAGTTTTGGTACATTTACGTGATGTTAGGTTTATGTTGAGTTGAAGTTCTGTTACGTTTAAATTCAGCCGGGTTTAGGTTCTGTTAAGATTGGTTTCTGTCAGCTTTGAGTGTTGAGAACTGATTCAGGTCCACTGCTGAGGCCAGACGTTTATTAACACACCTGGGGAGGATTGGGCCAAGTGGTTGGAGCTGGCTCCTGAAATATGGAGTGAAAGATCTGAAACTAATGAACTGCAGTACTGAGGTCACACGTAAAACAACCTGTTCTCCCTCACCATGGTTTTGTCATGGACAGGGGTATTTATGAAGATCAGTTTCTGCAGTTTTGTTGGGGTAGCTTTGCTAGGTTACCTGGAGTCATTACCAGTTGACTACAAAACCCCAACAGCTGCAAGTAATTAAGAGATGTTGTGGTATGAAGATCGTTCTGCATTTCCTTTGCAGGGCCACTTACAGGGGTGAGAAGCCTGAGGCCAGCTTCCCTAGAGAAGGAGTCCTGGTTGGCCCTTCCCTTTGCTCCCATGGGATTTGTCAAATGTCATCTAGGATATGTTGGAACCAAGCGTTGTGCTTCAGTCTACCAAACACAGAAGTTCCTCAGCCACAAGGGTTTCTGCCTGTTTAAAGCACAAAACATACCTAGCAGCAATTTTTCCATGAGTAGTGGTCAGGTTACTGAGCTGTTCAAATCGATTCAGTTTTGGCTGTGTGGAATTATAACCTCTATTTAATAGGATCGATGGGAAATGTAAATGGCCCTTGAATGTTGCAGTTCAGATGACAAATCATACGGTCTTCTCACTGGCCTAATCAAAAGAAAACAAGATTTTAGGCTGATTTGGGGAGAGTAGTATTTCTGAGTAAATCTGTTTCCCCACCTATCCCGTTGTGATCATCTGACATAAATGCTATAAAAGAGAGCAGTGATAAAATACTCTGAGCACCTGGAGATCCTCGTGGGATTTCATACAGAGAAATGTTCACAGAGATGAAACTTTTTCACAGCATTGAGCATATTTTAAGTAGGAAAAAGTGGAAATTGTAGTTTACTGTGGGTTGGCTTTCTGGCACTTGTTTAAAAATGGAAGGCTGCAGAATAGCAGCTATAAAAGAATTTGTAGTTTTAACAGTGAAGCCTAATTGTTATTAGTCAAACAGCAGTGGAGCTTTTGAAAATTTGGTCAGCTTGTGAGGCACTGTGTTTTTTATGACTGTCCTGACAAGGCTTTGGAAGCGGGTTGCTTAATTTTATGTTCAGCTTGTCACTTGCCATGATAAATACATCCTATCCTGCGTTTGTGACTAACTTGTGTGGGCTTTCCTACGGTGGTTCGTCAGTGCTAAAGTAAGAGATCCTGGCTGGGCTGTGAAATGGTTGATGGTGAATGCAGTAGGTAACTTCCACGGGATAATGGGCTTTCCCTTTGCCTTTCAGGTCCTGTGTGGGTGACTGTATTGGCACCGAGTGCCCCGTGTGCCACATGCCAGCCTGGGTGCAGGACACACAGATCAACCGGCAGCTGGATAACATGATCCAGCTCTGCAGCAAGCTGCGGCAGCTCCTGGGCGCCGACGCCTCAGGTGAGATCACCCAGCTCCCCGGTGGCTGCAGTGTCCATGCCACCCTGTTTCATCTCACACAGCTTTACAGGGAATGAGCTGTGCAGCCCTGCTTAAAATTCCAGGAGGCTGTTCCAAATCATGTTGGGAAAATTTGATTTGAAGAGAACTGTCTGTATGGTTTGCTTGTTCTTTGAATCTGTTTTACTAAGAAATCCACGTGAGTGGGTTAGTCCATAATTCATTAGAATCTGTTTTCCAAAATTAGATGAAAGTGGGAGAGATTGCTGAGTCACGTGGCACAAAGCAGGGGCACAGGTTGTCATATCTTATGGGAGACCCAGTGTGTAAAGTTCTGCATTGTATTAGGGGGGCCCTTTTAAAGAATTAATGCATGTCTTCTCCTGCCTCTGGGTTTCTGTGCACTGAGTCGTGCCTGCTGTCCCAGTAATTTTAAGTTCAGGGTTTTTACACATGGGAAAAATGATCTATGTTCTTTGCCTAAAAAGGAGAAAGAAGAAAGTCTTAACTCATTTATTTTCTGATCCCTAACAATCGGCTAATCTGCTGCAGTGAAGTTTTGTCATTGCTGACTGCTAGGAGATTGCAGAGAACATACTCTGGGAATTAATCTCTATCAAATTTTAGGTTGTTTGTCAAAGTAGGAAAAACTAGTGAAATAAACATAGGTGACTCTGTGTTTCTTCTGCAAGCTCAGAGAGGAGCATTTATGTAATACCAAGTTTTAGAAAACATTCATTTAGTTGTCAGATACAGAATAGATAACTCTTCCTTTATTGTTGCTTCCTAATATGTTTGTCTAAGTTAAAGATTCCTTTTCTATGTCTAGTCCCATCAGCACCTTTATTCATTTATGGACTAGCTCTTTATTGACACCAAAATGGATTTTAAGTGACGAGGCTTGAAGTCGGTGTCCAAGTGTAAAGGAATACATTTTATATAGGTATAAAATCCTATGGTGATTAAATTTTCTGGAGCATAGAAAACAGACGATGGCTTAAATAGGATTTCAGGAAAACATTTTAAGTGATGAAGACTTTTAAAAGCACACTCGGAAGAGAATCATTCTGAGAGGAACTATTAGTGATGCTATAAATAAAGCATTTAAAATACAACATGGTAGCATCATTGATACTGTCTAGATGTTTTGGAGAACTCTTAGAGATGGATTAACTCTTAAAAATTGGTCTGACATTTAACTGTACTAAAAATTGGATAGTACATTTAATCCCATAGTTCTTCTAAAATGAAATCTGTGTGGTGTGGCTAGGCCACAGAACTAAATGACGTTCTTTTTATCATCCCTTGTTCTGACTTAAAAGCAGACACAAAATAAGACTTTACAAAAATGTCTCATATGATATTATTTGGGAGATGCCTTTCTATCACTTGTAATCTTTGCAGTGTGCTAAGGATTAGCACAGTGGCCTTTTGGATGTATGATACTGAGAAAATCCTCCTGAGCTGGTAATAGTTCACTGTCAGGAACAGCTTGAATTCATCAGTAAGTAAGCACACCTCTAAGAACAATCAATTACATGTTGGGGGAAAAAAAAAGTATATGGCTGAAAATCACAGGATATTGTAGCTTTAGATATCGAGAGTAAATTCTTCAGGATGTTTTGTCCCTCATCTCTGGCAAATCCCTCACCTCCCATTGATGACTGGATACATTAAGTTCTGCCTTGAACTTAATGTATCCAAAGAGAAATATGTTTGAGTTTGGAGAATCATGGGTTCTCTTCTCTTGTTAAGGACTTGCTTTCATGTTCTTACAGCACTGTACTTCTGTCAACAATATTTTCTTCTCTTTTGTGTTAGAAGGTCAAAAATTGTGCTTTATGTTCCAGTAAAGGAAATAGACCGAAAAATCAATCTTTCGGTGCAGGAAAGGAAGAGAAGCAGTTGAAAAAAAAATATTTCCATATATTTATGTCTTTTGCATATTTGCTGTGTATGCCTTGTTTTGTGGTAGTTGTGGCTTCTCTTAAATCTTGTTAGAGATCCTTGTTGACACTGAAATTTTTAAGTGCATCCTACTAGTAATTTTTTTGTCTCTGACAGAGCTAGTGCATGCAGTAAGTTGTGTGTGTTTCTTTTAAAAAAACCCATGGAGCTGCTGCGACTGAAAAGGATAGGGTTAAGCTTACACTGAATATTTCATATACTAAAATCCCTGTACCCTGAGGTTCCACAGTAGACATGAGAGGGATCTCACTTTGTATTCCATTGGGATAAAAATAGCCTCTGCCAGATAGCATGGGCATTGTAAGAAGCAGCAGCAAATTATTCAGGAAAGACTGCACAAAACAGCTAATACTTCCCTTTTAAATTAGATGGAAACACAGCAAATGATGCTCTTGGGGTGACTGTAGATGAATTGACAAACCTGAAACTGTCTGGATAACGCAAATTATCGGTGGAAAATTCAAGCTATAGGTAGGAAATGCTGAGCCTCCAAGTCAATTCACTTTAGAGGTTTTTTTATGCTTAGTCTATAGCAAGATGAGGAGAGGTGCCTGACTTTTTGGCTGCCCTGTGCTGTACCTTCCTAAGGGAAAAGGGAAGCTGGCTGGCAGCCACCACAGGTAGGATGTCTGCGCTCAAACTCTTCAGCTCTAATGTTGCAGTGTGAAAGACATAGGGTGCTGACATTGGTGGGATGATGGGTAATTCCTGAGGACTTGTGGAATCATGGGCATAGTGTACATAAAACACTATATTTGTTGATTTAGAGTTTTCTGTGTAATGTTCTTTAAAAATAAGAGATTGCTGTAAATTTTCAGAACCATCACCAACCATTTATAGTTGATTTTATGTTATTCTTTGTAGCAATCTGCTTCACTCTTAGGAGTCAAACAAAGCCTTCTCCCCTCTTCTCATGCAGAGCTACACCTTGCAAGACTTGGTCAAAGCTCCCAAGCTGATGCTGGTGAACAGTCAGCCAGATCAATCAGCCTTTGTTTCACATTAACTGGATGTGGAACTCCTGTTGTAACAGATTACATTGCATTTCATGGACTTGTGACATTTTTCATAACATCTAAAGATTAAGTTTTGAATAGCTGGAATTTCTCCCTTTCCCCTTCGGTGTTGAATACTTAACTTGCAAAATAATCACTCTACAGTGAAGACACTAATGTTGCACAGATGGTACCAAAGCTCTTCCCTTTGATTTTTAATAAGGGACTAGTTTGTCAAAGAGATTTCTCAACTTCTGTTCTGAAACCCGTAATAGAGAAAAATTTGAAAGGCACACAATTTGCATCATTATATTCCTTTGATGCAGATTAATGACAGCTAAACCACATTTTCTAATTGCTCCTTTTTTTTTCCCTGCACTGGCCTGCTATTGCACTACAACAGAACTTGGAGATGGAGCTCTAGTTGCAAGGCACTGACTATCTCTTGGTATTTTTGTATACTCTCAACCCTTTTAACACTTAAGAAATCCAACTCTATTAAATGTCAGCATTGAGAAACTTGGCTTATTATGTGCAAATAACTCTAATTTAGAAATAATTCAGTTACTACATAGTGTAGAATGTTATGTTTAATAGGTAATAGAGACTGAATTTACTGCATTTATTATAGGCTGATTCTAATACTGTTATTGTGGATGCTCTTTATGCTATTGCAGATGCTTAAAATCTAGGATTAGTAAGGAATGCTCTATTGATTTACCTTGTCTAAATGCCTCCCTGAATTTTTTTGTGAGGACACTTATGTATTAAAAAGACAATTAAATTGAAATCATAATAATTTTTTTCAATCCTGTTGAGATCCAAGCTCTGGCTTCAAACTCGGAGACAGCAGAGAATTCATTGGGATTGATTTTATTGTGAGCAATTTTCTCCGAAGGTACTTTAACTGAATGAACTTAGCCACCAGATAATACCCTCTTTATATAAATTAACATTTACTTATTAAATCATAAGAACAGCCTTTCAGCTTCTTGGCTCTGGATCTCCCCTCTTTATTTCTCCCTCTTGCAGGTCTCGGTCCATCAAAAGACTTGATTTTCAGGGAAGGTGGATTGGCCATTTATCCAAGTTGGTTGGGCTCCCTACCTTGTATGCTTTGGAAATGTAGGAGGGGTAGCAGAGTCTAAGAAAAAACAGAAAATGCCGTTTCCTTCCCTGGCTGTGCAGGGCTGGCCTCTGGATGGGTGGGTATTTTATCAGGATATGGGCATCTTCTAATCATGTCCCATGAGTGCCTCCCTGTTCTAGAACATGCAAAATACTCTGTTACACCTCAAGTCATAAGGAAAAATACTCCTGGGAAAGTATTTATTTGGCACGTTGTATTTTCAGCAGGTTTTTAATAACCTGACTAGTAAGCCCCTGCTTACTTAACAGATCAGTTCAGGAAGCCTTGTGGTGGATTTCTCACAGCCTTTCCTGCTGCCAGGAGTGGTACATCCAGTGTAAATGCTTCATTGTGTTCTGCTGCTTTAGATCATACTTCTGAAGGACAGTGCCTTTGATTGAATTTGTCACTTGGACTTTAAAGTCTTGCTGTGCTATACACATCAAAAAGAATTCTGACCATTGTAAAATTGTTGCACAAATTACTTCTGCAAGCCAATTTTATTCTTTCTCTTTACTTGGGGATGACTGATACTTTCAGCAAGGTAAATATTTTACAAGGAGACCTGCTAGTTTGTGTAAACACTGAAGGCAAGATGAGTAAATAGTAACTTGTGTTTTATATTTTGCATCTGTTTGCAATCAAGCCCTTCCTTTTTTTAGATGTTACTGTCAGAATGAGATTGGATATGTTCTCAAGGCTAGCTAGTTCTGAGATTTCAGTCTTGATTTCAGTGCTTTTTTTCTTGTTTGCACCGAACCCAGCCTTAGAGGAAAACCAAATAGCTGCAGTTCTGTACTTGATGATTATGTTTAGATGCCTAAATGATTGATTAACTAACCTCAAGCTGTATTCTTAATGACACTTGGTCTGATGGCTTACATATTCCTCTAACTAAATCTAATATGTAACACGGTTTAATTTGAGGGGTAAGTAGTGTAATTGAAATCAAGATTAAGGAAACTAACTTCGCAATATTGCTTTAAAAGACAACTGTGAATGTCTATTTTAGTGTTGAATTACTAGCTACATGGTTCTCTTTTAAGTAGAGTTTCAAATGCACTTTTTTGTGACTAAGGGATTGGAGCCAGTGTGTTTGCTGCTATGAGTTTATCCCAGCTTGCTGTGAAAAACTGGCTGTAGTTACTAACACCAAAAATAGAAGAGGAAGTATGGAGATAATAAATTACCCATAGAAACTGAATGCACTGAAGTGAAAGTGATAGATTGTTGCAGTGAGTGTCTGTCACTTTTAATAATTGAGATTTTGTATTGTTTATTTCAAGAAAGCTTAAAACCCTCCCCTCCCTTCTAATCTTGGTCTTAGTGCTGCTTCAGAAAAAAAAACAGAACAAAATTCACGTTGGTTTTGTGTTTGATTGCTATAAATCACCAAGACTTTTGTGGGTGGTAGTCCCTGAAGTTTGAGGCAACAGGAAGAATGAGTTCTGCACTTACTTTGGAGGACTTGTCCAAATAACCTAAAATAACACCAGTTCACAATGAAGGAATTGGTAAAAAATCTGCTATGGTTCTATTGTGGAAAAACAAAACAAAACAAAACAAAAAACCTATTAAATTAGTGTCTAACTTTGAGGTCACTTTATACTTCTTAATTTATTCTTAAGCCATTGAAGACAGTATTTATGTCCTCAGTCCTCGTTCTCAACTGTTATTTCATGTGCTGGGAGTACAGGATATTCTTCCATCATCCTGGTCGTTGATTTGTAATGTGCTCTATGGTGTGATTTATAAAATTGCTCCACTGCATATTTTTAAAGAAATGTTTGATATCATCAAAATGCTTGGCTTCTTTGAAATTATTTACTGCCCAGGGGTAAAGGATCAAATGGCGGACACAATTGCTTACAGATTTTCTATATTCCTCTGGTTCATCTGCTATATCTGTGGAATCAGTCAAAATTTCTTAGGAATGTTTGACATTTTTATAAGGATATTGTTTTTGCTTGCTTACATCTATTTTTCCTTTTCATCTTTGGATGAACTGCAATATCTCTTTAGAAAATAGTTTCTGTGCTCTTTTGGGTATGCATGTGTCTCTTCATTAAACCTATTTCCCAGGAAAACTCTGAGAAAACCAACTTTTGTCCTTTTCTGACCTTGTCAGAACTCTGCTGTGCACGTGCTGTGTTGTGAACTGAGGGAATTTCTTTGCCAGGATGCTCACATGCCTGATGGATACCTGTCACTGCACTGGGATCTCTGAGCTCCAGAGTGGCAAGTGGCCTTGCCAGGGCTTTTAAATACCCTTCGTGTGTCTTCTCAGGAGGGTGACCTTGTCAGGGCTTTTAAAGCCACTGCATGTGTTTTCTCAGAAGAAATGAAGGCACTCATAGATTGTATTTAGTAACACTTCATCAATTCTTGCAGGTGTTTTTATGATCTTTTTTTTTGTTTTGTGAGGTTCTGAAGAGTACTCCATAATTATTTTTACCCTTTCCTCATGCACTTAGATTCAACAGAGGATACATCCACACCAGCTGACTCAGAGTTGGAAAAAAAGAGCAAGAAGGAACAGATAAAGATGTGGTTCAGCCCAAGAAGCAGGAAGATTCGATGTGTCGTGAACAGACGTCAGGCTGGGACTAAAAGCAATGACCTTGGTCAAGACACATCTTCAGTTTATGATTTCTTTCCTTCCCCTCCTCATGAAAAGCCCTCCAAGCCAACAAAAAGACCAAGTCAAAGACAGATTAAGAAGATGAAGGAGAAACATCTAGCAGACATTAACAAAGAATGGAGCTTAGAGAAACCTGAGCAGAAAAGAGCCAAGGAGAAGATTCCCAAGGAAAAGTGTGTGACCATCTGCAGTCAACCAGTAGTGCTGTGCACTGAGGAACCAGAGAGTCTTGAAGAAAGACCTCAGCAGGAATCTGTGAAGGAAGCTGACTCCATCAGTAATACAGAAGATGTGGAAGTTCTGCCACAGGTGGAATTCCCAGAGAAGAAAGATAACAGTGAGGTTGCGTGCTCTGCACGAGATAGCAAGGAAAAAAATAGCGCTGAGGCATTGCTGTCAATGGCAAATGAAGTTACACCTTTGAAACGTGGAAGGGAGCAATCCAGACTTCAGGGTACTCCTCAGCCTAAAAGAGCAAGAAGTGAGAGGGGCATTCCTGGGAAGTCAGGCGGGCAGTCTGATGGCTTAGAGGAGTCACTGGAGGGCTCCCCCATCTCCCCAGCCACTGAACAGACACCAGTCCAGACTTCCTCTGCATCCAAACTCACTGACACTGGAATGAAGACAAGATCTGCAGCCCTTCAAGCAATTAACAGTCCTCCACTTTCAGAATCTCCCTCTACCCCATCCACTTCTAAGACTTACAGTCAAGTAGCAACACCACTCAGTCCTTCTGTGTTGAAATCCCCTGGTGTCAACACAATTGCCAGAAGAAATTACAAGGGAGAGACTTTGCTCCATGTTGCTTCCATCAAGGTAGGTCCATCATCTTCTAGTTCAGCTTTCAGCAGTGGTATAAAAAGACAATGTTTTAAAAATATTCTGAAAACCAGTTACTTCAGAACATCCTATTTCAGGGAGGGAAATCTCACTTTGTGATCTTTTTTTTCTAGGTTTATTTGGAAGTTTCCAACCTGATTCTCAGATTTCATAAAGAAATGACTGTTTGAATGATCAGAGATGGGTGTACTTGGAAACTCAAAGCATTACAGTGTCCATTATACCTGTGAGTTCTAGGAAGTGATAAGCATTTAAATGTTTTGGCCTTGTGTGCCAGAAAGCTGTCTCTGATTTGTCACAAGGAGTTTAGGAAGTATTTCAGATCTTACTGAGTGACCTTGATCAGTTCAGTCTGAGCTGGTAACTCAGCCAGGACAAGATCTGAGTTATGTACATGAAGGTAACTGTGAAACTATTAGTTAACTATTATATGAATTCTGAGATCCACCACCTGATGCAAGTGTTGACTCAAGGGGAATGAGGTGCTGTATCCTGTGATTCCCATGCTGAGCCCTATGCTCTGGAGGGAAGGGACAGAGTTGGGGTGTTCTGAGTTTTATGTAAAATCAGAATTATTCTTGGAATGACAGTTATCATATCTTAACCAGTTCCTGGTGTGATAGAACTTCATGGGTTTGCTCTTTGCAGGGGCTGTCCTTGCCCATTACTTTGTGAGAGGTGTTAAGAGATGTCCCACTCATCAGCTGCACTCATGGCAGCTCCCTTCTGAGAGGTCATTTAAAAGAGTTTGTAGTCTGGCAATCTAAATGTACTTTGTGCTAAATCATAAAATACAAATGCCATGTGGTTAATAAACTGCATATACTAGAAGAATTGATTCCTCTATAAGCACCTGACATTTATACAGCACTTCTGTCTGGTGAGACAGAGGCTGTTCTTGATAAATAACTCTGTCCTCTTTCAAAGGCATTCTAATAAGCCACTCCTGCTGCATGAGACCTTTTTAAATGGAAGTGTCAGCTGAGCTGGGTCGAGTTCAAATCTCGTATTTGATGTCATTAATATGGAATTAGGGGGGAGAAAATGAAACACTGTCCTCACAGGACTCAAGAGCTTTGAAGGACAGATCTCGTGTCACCTCTTGTCATAAGTCCTGCCTATTCCTCTTTATTAAAACACTGTTTACAAATTACCCTTCTGTGATTTTTCTGGGAATTTGTAGTGAATTGCAGTCATGACTGACTGGTTCTGAAAAAAATGGATCTGCCCTGACAAGTTTTCACACAGGTATGGTTTCCAGCAAAATGCCTGATGTTTCTTTGGATCACAGGTATTTCATCTACGAAAATGGCATCCCTGCAGCTTGTTGAGACTGGGAGTATTGGCATATTGGTGATATGCCAGTAAGGTTTCATTGCAAAGCATTTTGATGATAAATGAAAAATTAAGCAGTTCATGCTGTAGACAAAAAGGATAAACATGTTTTGATTATTGAAGTTCAGCAGTGTTACTGGCACTCCTTACTGGCATTGTCTTACTGGTACAGCCAAAAAAAAGCTGATTTCCAGCTGGAGTGTGGGCAGTGGGATGGGCTTTTTCAGTCCTGTGAGTTCCTTTCGGTGTTGTCTTTTGATGTTTATAATTATTTAGCTAAAGTGGGAGATGGCTTCTGTTCCTCATTAGCTCTGCTGTGGTTTTTATCCAGCAGCTCCATATTCATTGAGGTGCTCATTAACAAGGGCTTGTGTAGCTAGGTATGGCTTCAGGGTGATCCCAAAGTTTGCTTTGAAAAGGAACTAAAATAACACGAGGAAAATGATCCCTTGGTTATGATCTTTTAACTTGCAGGAACCCTGTATAAACTGATAAAAGTATCTTGTCAAACTGATCTTGAAAATACCAGGCTTTATCCTTCTGTGTATTTTCAGTGTGGGGTTTAGATTTGTTGGTTTGGATTTGGTTGCTGGTGGGTTTTGTTTCCTTCAAATTAGATATGATTTTTTCCTGAAAGATGCATTTCTCTTCCAGTTTGGTTTTATGGGTAATTTTTTTGTTGTTTACACAGCCAGTAATGTTCTTCCATGTGTGTAAAGGGAAACTGACTTGTAGCTGCCACCCTCCCCAAAATTAAGTCTAATTCTCTGGGACTTCATTAATTATAAAAACAAATCTGTATTGTTTTCATTAGCTGTTAGGGTCCAATACCCAGAATTTAATTAAAGTTAATTGAATTATCCTCTTTTTCTTATTTAAAAGAGATCATAAGCAACGTTAGCAGGCATGAAAACTAAGTGTTGTGCTGTTTATAATGATTCTGAAGGATTTTCCCCATTTACTACTACTGCTAGTTATTATTTCATTGAAATCAAAATGGTTCTCAAGAAAGATTCTAGTGTGGATGAACTTAATGTTGAGTGAAACTAATAAATGAAAATAAATGTGATCTTGCTGTAGCAACCAGCAGTCATGTTTAACTTCATAGTCATTAAAGGGGAAAATCCCAATTAGTTAAAATGTAAAATGTGACCTATTCAACTCTGAATATTCTAAACTAATGGGAAGTTGCCCCATCAACACCCTTCCACATGGGAATTTTTTTACAGTAAGAGAACAAATTGTTCCCAGGACCAGCTTTTCCCTGGCAATTAAGTCACAATACAGCACCACGTAAGGAGTTAGTGCAGAGTCCTAAATCTGCTGTGGACAGAGGAACCCCCAGTTCCTTGGCACTGCATGTCAGGTCTGGGTGCTGCCTGTGCTTCTTCTCCTGCTTTGCTGAGGGAAGTGATGAGGCAGAGCACAGTGCAATTGTGCCACTATGGATTCCAGGGAGAGGGACAGTGAACTGCAACACAAGAGGGTAACGGGACCTTGGCAGCAGCCACACTTAAAAGGAGTGGATGGGAAATAGCTGGGAGAAGGCTTGTGATGCTTCAAGTTAGAAGGAAATAAGGAGTTGTCCCTCTGAGGAAAGAAGAATTTGCCTCTATGCAGAGCATCTACTGAATTTGGAGAGAGGTGGTGTATTTGGGCAGTTTTGGTTACCCCCTCTTCCAGAGACCCTTTAGTTTTGCCAGCTCATGATGGTGTTCCCTCCTTGCACTCTCAGGAGGGCTCACAGAACAGCTTCACCCATGGCCAGCCTGCTGTGCTGGACTCTTCATGGTCATTATAATTAACACAGTAAAAGAAATGTGAGATAATTCCTTCTGGGCCTGCGAGAGTGCTTCTTTTATTGCTTTGTTACCAGTTAGCAACACATTAGGAAGGAGAGCATAGAAGATGTTGTGGTTTTGTGAGCATCTGATGGCAAACATCAGGATGGCTTTTAAATCTTGTTTTCAGGTGTTTGACCTGAAAACCACAGTCAGCTGTGCATTCCTTGCTTTTGGGACTGGATCTGTGTGTCGTGGTTGAGAGATGGGTCACAAGAAGAACATCTCCCCTCCTGGAGAGAGGAGGTCAAGGCAAATATGAGATAGTGCACTGGTTTCAAATGCAGGACTTGAGAATATGGAAACTGGCCCTGAGTCAAAGCAATCCATCTTCCCAAGTGCTGATTTGGAAGCCTGGAAACAAATTAGCATTTCTTTTCCGATAATGCTTGGTTGTTGCTTGTCTTCTTTCTGAGGCTGCTGGGTAGCCTGTTGCATGGTTTCTCTTTATTTTAAAGGTTAAGCATAGCTTCTTGTATGGTTGTTATTGGGGAATGGTCTGCTGTGTAGGGAATTCATTTGGATGATTTTGAGGGGAGAATCTTGCAGGATCCTGGGAAGAGTTCACAATTCCTATAAGCTCTTTAGTTCGTATTTGTCGTCCTTGACCATTTGAGTTGTAAAAAATCTAGTTCCCCCACAGCTTAAACAAGAAAATGGCATTGCGTTTGAAAGGGGGTCTTTTTTGTTCATTTGTTTGACCTAAAGATTACAGTTGCTTGATTAAATTTGTAAATAAAAGAAGAAATATTTGGTTGAAGGAGTACAGCTTTTTAGCTTCATCTTCATGTACTGTCCTAAATTAGTTGGATCTCTCTCATTAATTGCTAGAATATGTTTTCTGGTAGAATGCTTTCATTTATTTAGTAATTTGACTTTTCGATGAAAAACACCTTGATAAATGGAAGTTGTAAAGGGCAAAATGGAAAAAAAAAAAACCTATAAAATAGGACTAAAAGGACACTTGCAGTTCTTAACCACATGTATTAAATTCAAGACTTGAGGGAAAAAGATAAAAACCCTCCAACAACCTTGTGTAAGCCCAGCTGAGATGGTTTTCTGGTCTTATGCCAACTGTGGCTGCAGGAATGCAATTCTTGGGAGGAGGAAGTGCTAGAGCCCTGTAACTGCTCCTCGCTGTCCCGGGTAGTGCCGGCTCCAGCTCTGCCAACAGATGGCCCCAGTGCCTTTCCTGCTTCTCCCGTTTCCCCAGCTCCGGGAGCTGCGGTGCCGAGGAACAGCAAACCCGTGGCTTTACTGCCGTGTCACTACAGCTGAGCTTTGTTATGAGCTTGAAATGTCCTGAGTTGTGTTTGTTCCGAATGGATAATTCTGCATTCTGCAGTAGCTCCTGCCTCTTCAAGAGCTTGATGTAATCCTTCATTGATAATTAGATTTCAAAATAAACACTTTCCTGTGAATTCTTAATGGTAGGAGCGCTTTTCTACCTGGTGTTTGCCTTGTTCTCCCCTTCTGAGCAAGAAGTGTCTCCACTTAACATTTCCCCTCTGTTGCTGCAGACTGCTAAGAGGATCTCTCCTTGTGTTCCCTGGTTATGGCTTCATGGTGCAGACTGGTGATTTTCCTGCTGCATCAAATATACTCAAAGAGCTAAATGTGCAAAATTAATTTCAGCATTAGTCAAAGCACATCTTTATGCAGCATGTTGGAATTAGTCATTCCATAGTAATAGGTGTAGTTTCTTCTGGCCTCTTGTTGAGGGAAGACATGGAATTGACATATTTGTGTCTGGGAATTGTACCTCTGTGGTTTTTACTCTTTCTTGTTTAGAATTTAGCAAAGCATTTATTAGCTTATAAACGTCAGTAATTCCATCAACTTTGATAGAAGTGGCCAATGTGGAAAATAACCGAGCCACTTTTATTTTTACTCTTGGATCACATTTGTCTTGACTTGTCATCTAAACCTGGTATTAGCCTCTGGAAGATTCAGGCAAAATGGCAGAGGCATCTATGGTTGCATTTAATGATCTTACAGTCTTTTCCAACCAAAATGATTCTGTGATTGTGGTCCTGCTTGCAGGAGGGACTTGATAACATGTCTATTAATGATCTGCCACTTGATATTTTGTTGTCTTTTTTTAGCTAAATGTTCACCTTACGGTGACTGACTGAAGAGCCTCTGAGGACACAAAAGGCACATTCTCCTGGCTCTGTTATGTTAACATCTCCCTTGTAATCCTGATTGGCAGCGCCCATCCAGTCACTGCACAGCTCATGACAGCTTTCCCTCCTTGCTGTCACTCTCAGTGCTCAGTGCTGGGTGTAGGGAGCAGGTTCCATTTACAGATGACATGATGACAATATTTATCTTCTGTAAGCAGCAAAACATCAATTTTCTAATTTTGACATGTGCCTGGATTTAAGTCACGGGATGTTGTCAGTCTTTGTGTCCACACCAGCAACGCTTCCTTTGATGAAGCCACAGCAATGTTTTACAAATCGATGCTCACATAACTGATCTGAAAAGCTGTGATAGTATCTGATGCCCACACAAATTATTAGCTGTGCTTCCTGCTTTAAAGCAGTACTCCTGAAATGTCAAACCCTTTGCAGTACATGTTTGCAAACTGAACTTTAAATGATAAGCTCAGCTCTTGCTCATTATAGATAATTGTGTGTTCTCTCTGTCGGGAAGGATCTTAATGCTGAGCGCTGTCTTGGCTGCCTCTGAGTAACTCCTCAGGTTTGATGTATGCCTGTTACCTTGCAACCATAAAGAATATGCTGCTGCTAGAATCCTTTAATTGCTTTGAAAGGTAACATTTTGCTGGGACATCCAGATTGTGAATATAACGCATGAAATTTATCTCTGATGTGCTAATTTGCTTGATGGTTGTAAAGCCAGTGAGCCTCAGCATTTATTTTGGTGAATTTTGAGTTTGCAGTTGTTGCTTGGTGGATTTCTTTTTGCAGTGCAGTCTGTCTTAATATTTTTTCTGACTTAAAGAGTAAAGATTAAAGCTATTTTGTTTTTTCAAAGAGTTTCTCAGTAGCAAAATCAGATTGTTTGTTTTTATTGTATTTAAAGCTTAATATAATCTTCTCTCACCTTTTCCAAGGCTTGCTGTGAGTAGCACCTAGGCATTCCTTGACTTTCCAGTACTCAAAGGCATTGAACTTAATATATAATAAGTTAAATTTCTGTCTTTCAGATTTTTTTTATATTGTATATTTGACCTTAGCAAGGGCTACATCCCAGTTTATATATTTATAGTCTCTTCATTTGGGATATCAGTACCCTGGGCTAGGCAAAGTGTCAGCAGTTGCCTTGAAACACTTTATTTTGCCTAAAATAATAATTTAGGCCTGCACTGCAGAGATCTCCTTGCTTCAGCTTCCACAGGCACCTTCTTACCTATTTATAGCTGCATCTGGATATGCTCCAATCTTATTACCAACTTTGCTTTTCAGGGTGTCAAAACCTCTGATTCACAAATTCTGCCCTTTTGTTTCCTTTGCCTCATCTCTATTCAGCCTCTTTTCCTTAATCTGTGCATAAATTTCCACCCTTTCCACAACTCCTTGCTTACAGTGAAAGCTGAGTATAGCATTTTTCCAAAAAGCAAATTAAAACTATTTTGGTAGATAACTGTCAGAGGAAGTGTCAGTGAGATTCAACATAAAGTAGTAATTGCAGTGTTAAATAAAACTCTTCCTTTCGTGGAAAACCAATTTCTAGAAGCTTGTCAGGCTTATTAATTTATTTCACCTATGTTTTCAGACAGTTATTTAGATTAGCTTGAAAAAATCCAGTCTGAAGGACGAGGACATTCTCGGTAAATGTTCCTGACTCTAATCCTTCATTTTGACTGTAGTGGACAGATTGCAATTAGCACAAACGTTTCCATTTATTTTGAATTAACTCTGTTACATGCATAGTTTTTATCTAGAAGTATGTATTTGTGTAAAATGTGTGGGTGGTTCTAAATGAACAGCAATGATTAACTGTGGTCTCCAGATAAGTTGAGCTTTTGTTGTCCTGACAATATCTACATCGAAGGCTTATATCATTACATTTTTATTACAGCTAAATTTATAATTGTGCATCTCTCAAATTTGTGTTGTATCTCTGTATTTTCTTCATTACTTTTTCTTAACTCTGTTTTTTTCCCTGTGTAGGGTGACTTAGCAGCTGTGGAGCAGCTGCTGAAAAACGGTGCAGATCCCAATGTCAAAGATAATGCTGGTTGGACACCACTGGTGAGTGTTGAAGACTTTTCTGTCATCTGTCTTCTAATCAGATTTCCCTTCATCCCTCTATTCCTCTCTGAATAATTCTCTGTCACCTAAATGTGTGTGAAGGGAGCTGAAATATCAAAGTGAAGAAGTGATGATAAACAAGGTTAAAAGAATTCATCAGCAACCACTGACCTGTCCAGGTGTCGTTCTCCTTTGCTGGGGTGTAGGGCAGGCCATGAAATCAATCAGCCTGTGACTCTGCAAATGCAGAAATTACAACTAGCATAACTCAAAAATTATCAATTCAAAACAATGTTGTGTTTAATGGGTTCCTAATGTCCTCAGTGGTTTGAAAATATATCAAGTAGTGGAGTGAAAAAATTGCCCAATTGAATTACAGAAAATAAACAAAAGGTTCTTTTCAACCATTACTTCTTCCTCTCCTGCAGAATACTCCTGATAGCCTGTACTCTGCAGGGTTTTGTTCCCTGTGGTCTAATTTGCACACAGTTGGCCTTTGTTCAGTTCTTCTCAGGGTTTTTTGTCAGTGCTGGGTTTCCAGGTAAATTCCTGTCAGGAATGTAAGGCAGTATCCTTGCATCATCTTCCCTGGCCATCTGCGAAGTGCTTGAAAGTGAACGAGCTGCCTTGAGAGGAGTCTTCCTGTGAGTTCTGCTTCACCTGAGCTCCCCCTGTGGCTTTTCCCCCCAGCACGAGGCGTGTAACCACGGGCACAGGGAGGTGGTGGAGCTGCTGCTGCAGCACCGGGCGCTGGTGAACACCACGGGCTACCAGAACGACTCCCCGCTGCACGACGCCGCCAGGAACGGGCACGTGGCCGTGGTGGAGCTGCTGCTCCTGCACGGCGCCTCCCGGGATGCTGTGTGAGTACTCGGGGAGCGCTGCTGGCCCTTACCACTCTACAGCATCCAGAGTGGATGTTAAGTGAATATGAAACACAGCTAGTGATAAATGTGCTTTGTATGAAGTGAGGGCGTGGGTGTTAAATGTGTGCTCTGCTGTGCTTACCAGGTGGGTGTTTCCTTTCCTTTTGGTTTTGTCCTAAGATTTTCTGAGGACGCCTGAGTCATAGATAGCTGGAGTACTGGAAAGGGAAGCAACAACGTATGCACCCTAATCTTACACTTTCTTGTTGGCATCTTGTTATAGCTGCTGTCAGCTATAAAATGCTGAGCTAGATGAGTTTTGAACTGCTACAGCTGGTTTTTTACTTTTACTATCTCTTTACTTTTACTACGCTACTTGGTAGCAGAAGGCATTTTGCTCCAGTCTCTTCTGTTTTCACAAATGACATACAAACAGGCTGAGGTTTGGGAATTTTCACTTTTGCCTTTCTGGATCAAAGCACTAATCCTTGGTACACCCTTTAATTAAAAAAAAAAAAAAATAAAAGCAAAGTAATATTTTCAGTTGACTCTTCTATACAGGTAAGTCTCCTGAAACTTTTGGCATTTGTGTAGAGGAGGTGCTAAAGAATCTTTCAGTCTATGAATAACCCTGCAGCCTGTTACTATTCTGGGCACTAAATGTAGTTTTTGGTGTTGTACTGTTGTTGTGCCAGGGTCTGCGTATATGAATTTGAGTTGTGTATAAATTGGAGTCCAGTGCAAGTTGTCAATAGGAGAATGTGTATAGAAACACAACAGGATGATGTTTCTGTGGCAGCCACACGAAGAAGCATAAACAAGTTCAGCTTAATCACTTCAGCTCTCAATATTCACACTCCTGAAGCTTACAGAATTAAGGTGCTTTGTGGGAAAGCATAGGGTTTTCATAAAGTCCTAATCTTGAATATATTAGGGTTTAAAAATCAACAAGACAAAGCCAAAACAAAGCAACAAGACTGACTCAAAGACTTCAGCATGAAAAAATAAAACAAGGATCAGTTGTTCATCTTCACATTGTTCTTGAGCAGCAAGGACCAGTGCATGTGGAAAAGCTGACAGCTTCAGAGATTTTCAAGCGTCTTGAATATGAGGAGCTGGTTGTGTCATGCACACTTACCATGTGTTTGTATGGTGTTTGAAAGCACAGCCAACAGCTTTGCTGTGGGGTTGTGGCAGGGTTTCAGCTCTGGTGGATTTGCACAGCCCCGGCTCCAAATGCCAGCCGTGGACTCTGCAGGGCTCCTGTTAGCCTTGGTCTCTGCTGCATGTGCTCACACAAACACAGGTCAAGCTGAACCTTTCAGCTCATTCTACATGAGCAAATATGACTCTGTTGAAACAGAAGCTTTTTAATCAGGGAAGGGGAGATTTATATAAACTTTAAGCCCTGCTTTAACTTTTCACTTGAATGTAGATAATGTTCAGTTAAAATCTCTGAGAATAAATGTAGGTGCCATTAATCTTTGTGCAATTTGTCTTGGTGCTGTGGCACAAATTCAGTCCTGTCCATCCCTCCTGGAATAATTTCTAGATCTTCTGTAGGCTCTCTATCTCTGGCTGAAATGCCACCATGTGGATTGCAGTTGCACTGATGATGGAAAGGGGTTGGGGTTTTCCCTCCCCTATTTTTACAGAGATAATTAAAGCCAAAGAGAAATAGATGTACAAGCCAAGTGTTCAGGCTTGCTCTGCTGAGTCTTCCAAATGCTGTCAAGAAATGATAGAAACAAGAACAGTGTGTCTGAGACTCCTGAGAATGCCTCATGCCTCCCTTCCCTCCTGTGCCCCAATAGCTTCCAGCAGTGAATGCTGCTGTGATCTTTTCCTGGATCATGACTTTGCAAATCTTACAGGGTGTTTTTGCAGCCACTGCCTCTGCCAGCTGTAGTCCTAATTAAGCAGTGGTTGGATTTGGCTAGGTAAGTGAACTTGAACCTTCTTGCATATAGAAGGTTAATTATTTTTCATTTAGTTAATTCTTTTTTCGTAGTAGATATACAGATACCCTTATAATGGAGTCACATCTGACAAGAAGCTTGTTTTTCTTCAGTGACTTTCTCCTAGATCTTTGAAACCAGCTGACCACAGTTCTGAAAGCAGAAGATGAGAACAAGGGTGATCACTTAAAATGGTGCAATTACAGTTCATTTCATTATGGCTAGTTATAATTGGCATCTTTGTACTTAATGTTCACCTTCACATTATTATTTTACGTTTTTTACAGTAGAAATTGAAGCAGTGATGAGTAGAACTTACATCTCCAAGGCTTATTTTCTTGAGGAGTGCTTTAACTTGAGAGGTGTGCAGTGTGTGAACTAAGACTATACCGAACCAATTTTATCAAACAGATAAATTGGTCTAATTTTAGTTCACTTTTTTTCTCTTTGGTGTATAAAACCCTTTCTAGTCCTTTTGTAGGCTCTTGAGGCTTACAGTGAATTAACTTTCAGCCAAGGAGAGGGCTCTCCTTAATGTGGTGGGATAAAGTGATTCTTCTGTATCTCACAGGAGCAGGGAGGAAAGTTTGATTAGCTCACTGTGGTTACTTAAGTGTTTTACTTTAGCTAAGCTAAGTAAAATGTGAACATGACAAATGCATTCAAATGTTACTTGGGACACCATGAAATATATAGTGTGAAACCTCACAGGAGTGACTGATGTCTTGCTGCTGTCTTAACAGTAGAATTAACTCGGTTTTGTGTCTTAATGTCCCTTGTGTGTTCAAGACTTAATCTACTGGAACAAAAACAGTTTGCATTGAACAGCCTGCTTAGGGCAGTAGTTTGGAAATTTAGCATGATACTCAGTTGTGCCAGGTGAAATTTATTTTAAAGGTGTGCAGTAATGACTGACAGCAGGTCCAAAGGCAGGCCAGACTCACTGGTCTGTGGAGGGATGTAGGATTTATCTGGAAGCTACAGCTGCTTCCTGGGAGACCTCAGTGGGTGAGGTACAACCCTATCCACAGAGCTGAGACTTTGCCATTTCAGATTTAGATATCAGATATTCACAGACCCATCAAGTGGGCACATTCCAAGTGCCTTTCAGGCTGTGTTTTTCTCCTTTCATGTTAACTTGTAGCGCATTAAGAAATAGCTCTATATAACAGGAAGCAGCCACATATCTTTTGGACCAAGCAAGAACAGATGAGGGCTTCCTCTTTTGCCAGAAATTAATCCTGGGATTTCCTTATTCCTTGGCAAAATTTCTTTTTGGAAATCTGTGACATTTAATAGTTGTGGCACTTCAGTTGTCCACAATGTCATTGAAGTTTTCCCTGACTGGGGGAGATACAAACTACGAATGAAAAATATTACATGAACCAGTGGACCTATTAATTGTCCTACTGGTCCTGTTAATTTTTTTACATTAATCTCCTACACATAACTAATTTTTATTTCTATGTCTTTTTTCAACATGCTTGAATTCTTTTTTCTTTGCTTCACAGCAAGCCAAGTGATTTGAAAAATTAGATCTATGCATTTGCAATTTCACAGTACTTCCTAAATGCTTTCATTCAAATGGACTGTCTTTACAGTTCTTCATGCACAGTAAGTTTAGCATTAGTAAAAACTGTTGTCATGCACTATTTTTTAGGTGTAGTGATTGTGAGTCTGACTCTGAACAAACCTGTGGGAATGCTTAGGGCTAGACCATGGTCCTCAATTATGAATGGCATGGGGACAAAAATTACTATAACCTGCAGTCATTCCAGGAGTCATTAGACCCATGGCACTGATGTAATTTTGTCTCCTTATTCTGAGTCAAGATAGTGCAGGTCTTTGCTGCCTAAGTAGAAGACATTGTGTTGAACTTCCTGCTGACATTAGGTTAATTAAAATCCTGTCTCTGTTTGGATATCTCAGATGGTCTTTCTGGCTACACAGATTAGGGTTTTTTTCCCTCTGTCAGGTTCAGGAAAGGTTTCTACTTAGCACATCCTCAAAATCCAGGTGCTGCCTGGAGAGCTCTGAGCCACTCAGATTTCCACATGGGAGTTGGTGGTCTGGAAGTTAAGAGACCTGGCTGCAGGATTTCCATTCACTCCTGAACTCTTTTGTGGGGCTGGGGCAAAACTTGGTTTGTGGAGCTGCTTAAAACTCCTGATTACAAAGAATTACAAAGTATTATTTCATGGAAAATCATACTCAGAAGATTTGGTTGAGTTGCTCTTCACTGGGGTCCTCTTTGTTTTCAGCTCAGCCATCTCAACTCCTGGATTGGATTTGTTCCAGCTGTAACAGCCCCCTACTTGTTGACTGGCTAACAGGAGGCTGCTTGCACCCAAATGTACATATGACTCTGGAATGTTTAAAAAAAAAACTTCCAGAAGGCCCACTTGCCTTCTGGTATAAAGAAGGATGCCTTGGGGACCTTGTATTCCAGCTTAAGCACTTCTCTCTAGCAGAAACAATTTTGTCTTCCTGTTGAGTGTGGAACTTATCATGTGCACTGGACCCATTCCCAGCAAACCCAGATTTGTAGGAGGAGCACACAGAGTTATTGGTATTTCTGAAAACACTGTTTGTGTGTTAGGGTGGATGTAATATGCATGTCTAATTTGGTTTTGAATACTGGGTAAAAATTCATCTTAGAATAAAGTGAATTGTTTCCCTTCTTCAGCTGGGTTGGATAAAGATGGATGTGAACACCATTTCCCTAAAGCTTCTGTTTCCCATTCCTCTGCCTTACTAAAAAACTACAAATATAGTTTTCATCCTTTCTCTTTGAAAAGTAAATTACAGCGCTATCATACTTGAAAATCTGTTGTTAGGATGTGTTCCTGGGATTGGTTTTTATTATGTAAACCCTCTTTTCTCCTCTTTCAGCTACCTTTCACAGTCTCCTTAAGCTCAACAATCTGTTTAGTTTCAAATATTCTAGACTCTTAAACCATCTCTTGTGCTGGTGTTCCTTTTTCAGACCTCAGCTCCAAAGATTGTCACAATTTAACTATGCCACCTTAACATGCAACAAATAGCCCTTCATTCTTCAATGCTGAATAATGATGGGCCAGCATATCACAATACTCTAGTAAGAAGCAGCTAAAGCTTAAAACTGTAGGAGAAAACTGTAAGTGAATACAGAAGGAGGAGCTGGAGCTGGTATTTGTACAGTTCAATTGGCAAAAAATGTTCTGTATTTAACTGGTCTGTGTATTTTTCTATGGTAAGTATTCATGAGTTTTTTCCAACAGTCAAGAACCTTACTGTGCCTTTGGAGGGAAAAGCACTCCCAAATCTCTACTACTGACATGCAGGGATTCCCTCCCTCTGCTTAGCTCACAGTGAAAGGTCAGCCAACTAGTCTAAAGGTGACTTTTGGGGTGTTTGATGATATGTTTATATATTTCCCCTCCTCTCTGGATGCATTGTTCAAAGGAACTTTATCTTGCAGCAGTTTGAGTTGAATATTGGCCTTATTTAAAGAAAGGGCAAGAGCTACCCTGATGATGCATGACAAAGGAGGAACAGCATGACAATATTTAATGGGCTGCAACTCCCAGGCCTGGGCAGGGATTTAACCAACTGTCTTTCAGCTGCAGAGTTTGTATTATGCCTGCACTGTGCTCATTAGTAGCACAGAAGAGCTTGGGATGGTAATAGTGTAAAATACCATCCCGGGCTCTTCTGTGGGGGATTTGTGTGGATTGTTGTTTTCCCCAGGGGCTGTGTTAGTGAGCAGTGCTCAGCCAGGGGTACAGAAGGGTGCTGGGGTCAGACTCATCTTTCAACTTAGTGCTGGCCAAAGCCTCCTAGTTAAGTCAGAGTGGAGACTTAATAATTTGAGCTGCTCTTTGGGCTGGATTGGGTTATGGTCTTGTGTGGAATTCCCTGTAAAGCTTCCTGGATTCCTACTCTGAACAGAAATGTGTGGCCAAGAGAGAGCTCTTCAAAGCAGCAGTGGTCCTGTGACCTCTTTAAATGTTTCATTGTTTGATGGCTAAGCTTTCCAGGTTTCAGACTCTTGAGTCAGAGCTTAGTTCTCATGACAAGCTTCCCCTCCATAACGAGCTCTTATTGTGCCTTTGGAGAGCCAGAGCTGCCTGAGGTGGGCAGAAGAGGATCAGCTGCAACAGCCATTATTCCCACAAAGGGCAAAGCAAGTAGAATATTTCCCCAGAGTGCTGGCAGAGGCTCCTGTTTGCTAATGGCAATGATGCCTGTTCTGCAATTTCAGGCTTTCATCCCCTCACTACTGTCCTGCAGCAGCAAAGCTGTGTGAAGAAGAAATTGAAGCCATGGCTGAGTTTGATGTGTTTATAGCAATCAGCTCTGTCTGAGGAGTGCTAAAAGAGGAAATCAGTCTGGAAGCACAACTAATAACTATGAGGTGCCACCTGCAAATCAATAGCTTTGAACAAAATTGGCAAACCAACTAAAATCTGACTGAATTGGCTATAATGTGTTCTGTGGAACAGTACACTGATGGAAAATGAGATGTACACTCAGATTTTGGAAGTGCAAGGGTGCTGTGGTTCCCAAGTAGGAAGCAGATAGCTTTTCCCATAAAAGCACTACCACATCAAGCTCCCATGTTTAATACACTACAGAGAGTCTTCTGACATGTCTTTTATGGCAAATGGATAAGCCAAAAATACATTTCTTGGTTATATGACTGCAATGAAAGATTAAAGCTGAAATTTCTGGGTCTTGCAAATGATATCAAAGTGCATCTTGAGACAGTTTAATAGGGACTGTGGTTTATTTAACTGAACATTCTGCTCTGAACATCCCTTACTCCTCAGCCGAATGCAACAGCTTGTAATTCAGTATCCATCTGTCTTGGATGCAATTCTTACTTGAAGCTTTGTGCTTTTAGCTGAAATTACATATTAATAAGAAAGTGGGAGGGAAAGCTACCCAGCTAATATGCCTGGTTAGTTAAGAATCAAGTCACATTTTATTTACTTATACCCATCTGTGCTTGTTTTGCCAGTAATATATTTGGTCTGCGGCCTGTGGACTATGCAGAAAGCAAAAAGATGAAATCTGTGCTAATGTTGCCACTGAAGAATGAATCACTTTCACTTAACCAGCCCTCTGAGGTAAATGTCTGTGTGGGTTTGATTTTGTGTTTTGCTTTTCAACAAAACAACAAGCCATGAGTTCTTCCTTTATATATTGAAGGCTTGGATGTAAATACAGTACATCGCCTCCCTTACAGGGAGATTTAAAATAGGCTGGGAAGCTGTCTTGGACAGTGTTTCTAGGATGTATGTGGAACACTGACAAGCTATGAAGTTCTGTGTTACAGCTTTATGTGGGAAGACAAAAGATGTTTCTTGTAATGTGATTTTATTATAGGAGAACGAGCCTGTGTTATTCCTCAAGTATCAGTGCTTGAACTTTGCTATTGATGTTGTTTTTTTGCATATCTAAATTTGTTCTGCTTTCCAAACTGTCTGCAGGCAGCAGCAGTCTTTGTTCCATGTGCTTTTTGTGTGCCTTTAGGAGGCTGTTTCATTATCATCCTTTGTCCAACAATGGAAATATCAGCTTAGCAGTAGGACATAGCTTTTGGGAGATTGTTCTGGGGTTTTTGTTTTTCTCTTCCTTCAGACAAAGACTTCTCAGGACTTGTAACCAGAATCAGGTACTCAGATTTTAGAAGTTACTGTGTTATGAAATGCTTTGTGCTTCCTAATGGAGGAGGATTAAGCTGACCTGGTTGACAAGAGCAGCTGATATCTACTCCAGCCCCTACAGCCTGCAATGATCCTTCCTAATTGAGGTCACAAGGTACCCAGTGGCCAAAAGTAAACTGTTGCACCTAAACCAGGACTTACGTGGCTGTTCCTTCCACCTGCAGCAAATGCAAGATGTAGCTCATCTGTGCCAGACAAACCATTTTGGTATTTGCATTTGTTTTGGGGTGAGTGTGTGTGCCATGGAATGACTGCTGGCTCACATGGATGACTTGATCCAGAGCCTGAGGCTGTGGGGTAACTGGATCTCAAAGGTGTGTTTGTGCTATGGAATCTGGAGGACTTGGCAAAATCGAGAAGCTGAAGTATCCTACCCTTGTCAGCATAAAGATCCTCTTACCTTGCATTAATACTCCCCACATCAAAAATCCCAACTTAAGCACTGGTTCCTTACAGGGCAAAGTGTTAGGGACTTTTACTAAAATGAAATGCAGATATTAAATAGGTTATTCAATACTCCAATACTCAATATACGGTGTTAATATTTTGCTAAAAGTAGGAGATTCTACTACATAATTGGGATTTTTATTCTCTTTCAACACTGCAGTCTGCCAGGCTGTTTACACAGTGTTTAACCAGCTCTATGTGTGCACCCCAGTGTCTTGAAAAAGCACCAAAGAGGGCAAGAGAGGAAAAACTGATCCATGAGGTCTTTTGGTACTTTGCATAAGCTAAATGAAGTACCCCTGAAGCTTTTTACTTGTGGAGCTGATTTGTTACATGGAGATTTATTCATGGACCCTGTTCACTCAGCTTGCCATGAATTGTGTTTCAAAATGCTTATTCTTGAAAAAGAAAGCTGTCCAGTAAATAAGTTGCTTTCCTTATGTTCCCAAATACTCAGCTTATTGCAGAATTTTCTGTTCACGCAGGCACTGAGCTCCAGCCAGCCAAGAAATGGACCCCTTGGTATACTGGGGAGCAATCTTAGTGTGGAGCAGCAGAAATTGCTGAACAAATTAGCAACAGTCTTGAAGGCCCAGAGGTGCACTGAATTTAATAGCAGAGGTATGGAGTCTTGTTGAAATGTCTCTGTCCAAATATAAGTTACTACAGTTCTGCACTTTATCGTTTAAGATACTACCTGCAACAGGGCTTTTTATCACTCCTGGGAGGTGCAGTTTCTGAAATCCCTGAGTTGTAGCTGCAGTGGAGTGATGGTGTGTTTTGCATGTAAACACATATAAAGCTTGTCTGGCTATCAAGGCAGGAAGTTTCTGGGGGAGCCACAGTTTGGCAGTTTATTGTCTGTTATTTAAAATCCCAAAGTCTCCTCAGAGACCTCTTCTCTTTACACCCCTTTTACCAACTATAAGGTCTCTGCTTGTGTGAGACATCTTGTAAAGATTTTATTCCCCAGAAGTGAACCTTGGGCAGGTGAGCCTTGAGAAAAAAGCATGGCATTGGTTGAAAGTTTATGTCTTCTCACATGCTACCTTACTTCAGATTTTGTTCTTCATTAAGATTGGTGAACCCAAATTATGGAGATTGGTGGAGTTCCTTTCCCCTCATTGAGGACAGGAATATTATCCTAATCCCTCCTGTTTTTCTTTGGAGTGCTTGTGAACAAAATACTAAGGTAATTTCCCCCACCATCTTTCACTTCTGGATTACCACTCCTGAATTTGGAGTGGAGTTCCGTTAGCTTTGTATTAAAGCAGTGAGATCCTGTAGTAAGATTCCTGTCAGAGTTAAATATAACTCTAAAAGGATTGGGAAAAAAAATGCTATCCTATAAACTGGAGACTCATCTGAAGATTTAAGTGTTAGTGTAGAACTATAAAACCATGAGTTTCCTTTTTCACAGCAAGTGTATGTTGAAACCCACAAAATTTCTAATAGCTCTTCTACTAACTCGGATCATAGTCTCAAAAATCACCTCCTTGTGCTAGAAAGAGTGGCTGATAAATTATTATAGTCTGCTTATTCTTTAAATAATGATTGATTTCTTTTCAGCCAGGCATGGTTCTGATTTTTGTGCTTTTAGTTTTACTGATGTAATCTTTCTCCTAGTAACTCATCTTGTTATCCCTGATGTTCCAATGCCAACTACTGTCAAATGCATGATGGCTGTTCTGACTGGATGTTGGGTCCTCAAGTTTGAATGTAAGTATTAAATATGTGGCACTCCTTGGGGTTTTTAAGCAGAAATTGTAGATGGAATTCTAGAGAAACTTTTTTTTTCCAACAACTGCCCTAATAGCAATGCTATCTTGACACAAAGTGCAAGGGATTGTTTTCAAATCTCATAAATGACTAGAAATTTAGTTGCATATATTTGCTTAACTTTAACTACTACTTCCTTAGTAAATGAGTGCACTTCATCATTAGTTGTGTTGGATAGATCATAGCCTAAGTATCAGTAGGGAGTGACTTTTTTCATTGCTACATTAAGACTGATTTGGAAGATACCCTGGGAGAGAAGGAAGGGTTTTATTGAATTGTAGGATGTGTTATGAGCAGTTTGCATTGAAATTGAGAGGAGACTTTAGCTTGTGTGGTATATGTGCTCAAGGCCTGTGGGAAGTGAGCTTATGTTTACATACAAGCTGAGATCCATTGGAGGTTGTAACTTCTAACCCAAGTTAGCATGCAAATCATGTTTTATGCAGTCTGTAATTTGTGTTTATACAGTGCTTCCTTTTTTTATACAGCTGTTCTGTGAACTTAGACCCCAAATTTTGAGTTTATTTATTTATTCTGATGTATTTCTTAGTATCTGCTTACACAGTAGTTGCTAAACCCATCTTCTTCCCCTTGACCTTTATGGCTAAATCCCTTTAGCTAATAAGTACACTACAAATGAGTTAATTACCCATGGAAAACGTACAGATTTCATTCCAGTTTTCTACTGTGTGACTAAACATCAGAACATCAGGATTCTTTAATGGCCTGGACACTAATGTTTATGGAGACACTGTGCAAAGCTTCAGAGGCTGCAAACTAAAGCACAGCATCAGGTTGGATGCTGGACTCAGGGTGTTAATTTGGCTTCCAGGCAGTTTGTTCCATGCTTTTTTTTTTCCAAGAGTGAAGACCCTGTTTCTGTGGTGAATCCCTTGTCAGATTCTTGGCTTCACTCAGCCCAGAGTGAATACATTCTATCCCTACATGCTTCCTTTATTTCATTTCATCTTCCTGATAGTCAGATGCTTGGAAAACTTCAGAGTAGTAGGGAGTTTTCATTAGTGAGACCTGAATTTAAATCTTCATGGAAGAACTTTCATATTTAGAAGTGATTGGAAAAGGAAAAAAAATGAAGTAGTCCAGGGGTTATTCAGGGAATATTTTTATGGGTTTTTTTTCACAGTTGAGTTTTATGTTGTTGGTTCTGATTAATACAATCCTGACTGCTAATGCTCCAGCTTAGTAAGCAACATACTACTTAAAAGCAAGTGATTCTCCTCCCTAGTGGGAAATGTTAGCAATAACTCATGGGGTCTGATGCAGCTAAGTGCCTGTAATTAACAGCACCACTCCATCTGTTCCCACCAGTCTGTTATCAGTCTTCTTCAGAGTCATTACAAGTTAAAGATTGTTATAACAAATAATGGGACTCCTGCTGACGGAACATTTGTCTAGGAAAAAGAGGTCCCTGCTTTTCCTTTTCATTACCATTTATTGTGGCTTTTTGACTTCTATTTGGATAAGTTTCCTTAAATGTGATGCAAATAAACTTCCAAAAGTAAGTGCATTTTCTAGTTATATAATAAATTTAAGTTGTTGTTTACAGTTCGCTGTTCTAAACTATTCACATGAAGTGAATTCATGTTGAAAAAATTCACTAAAATATTTGAAAAAACAAAGCTCAGTGAGGCACTTAATGAAATGCTGACTATGCATAAGGGAGTGTTTGAATTTTTTGTACTACAAGGTAAACTGCATTTGACTGTTATCCCTAAAGTTATATTTATAGCCTACCCATTATACCACTTCTTAAAAAACATCACAAGCTTGCAAAAACAGTATTTCATTTGAAAGTCTCTTATGTTAACTCTTCTGTTACAGCAGGCTGTGAATCTTTCTCTCATAAAAAGCAGTTTCCTTCTCTTGGGTGCTTCTGTGACACTCCTGTTTCCATATATCCATACACACAGGTCCAGCATCCTTTCATTTTGGTAGAGAGGTAATGTGGAATTTTCCAGCAGAGTTTGAGCTGAGTGCTGGAGAGCCAAGATTTAAGTATGTATCCTGAGTTTTGGGGTTGCCTTTTGTCCTCAGGTGGGAGATCAGGATGAAAGGATGTTGCCACTGAGCAATATTAGATCTTCACAGAAGAAAAACTTCATGTTACCAGTTGCATTTCCACCTTTTCTGTATATAGCACACTGTCAGCAGTACATCCACTTCCAAGGCAGCACAGAATTTAATGGAGGCAGTGTTGCCACAGTGCTCCTTGCCCTTGGCCATATCTTTCACTGGTTTCATTATTTTATTGCCTTTATTATTTCTGGGATGGTAATAGGGCACGAAGTGGCGAGTCATTATCCTTCTGCAAGTGGGCTGAGACAAAGATTCAAGTATCACTGTATTTCCTCTAAGCTTTATGTGGAGCATAGAACAGTGTAATTAAAACCAGCATAAGTCTTTAATAGCTTTTCAGCTTGTTTTTTTTTCTTAAAGTTATTGTCATCTGTTAAAGCAGGGAATGAAAAATGATCTCAGTAACGATATGCATTGAAACAAGCTTGTGTCACTCCTGGCAGTGAAATGTCTGGGAGAATTCTAAGCATCTGATTGCTCATTCCTTCCTCTGCTTTCCTTACCTGAAAGCAGGAGCAATGATTTAGCTCTGATCATTATAAGGAGGCAGAAAAAACTGCTTTTCCTGTAAGGACTCACAACAACAGGGAGTTGACTGGAAGAGCTAGGGGACTGCATGACTGACATTTCAAGGTGAAAACATCTTTCTGAATTTTCTATGCCCATCCTTGTTTAGGCTGTTAGAGCAGAGGAGTGCAAAGCTGCTTGAGCTGACTGCTCCTCAGGCTGGACTGTCTCTCTTACATGCAAAAACATCTTTTAGGTTACTGGCTGATTCTCAGCAAAGCCATCCCTCCTTGAAACACCCAAAACTTTTGATCACTGGCGTTCCATACTCTTTTTGTACATGGAAACTTCCTTCAGCTGCTTCCTACAAAAGGACTCGCAGCTCTGAGAAGCTTTAGAACTCTCCAAAGTGCAGCTTCTGGTTGTACTGGGTGTGCAGCAGAGGGCAGTGCTTCAAACCAGCAGGGACTGAACTTCTGAACTCCCACAGTGTCTGCACCTGCTGGAAAGGAGCTCACAGTTTTACACTGTGAAGCTGCTGGGGTTTGCAGAGGAGAAAATGGGAGTGAGAATATCTTCAATGTGGTGTCTGCAGAGATTGGAAGTGGGCTGGTTTGAAATAAGGTCTAGAAGAAAAGGAAAACTTGGTCTTTCCAAAGCTTCCTCTGTTCTGTGTCATCTAGATACTCAGTTTTCCATAGTTGTGGAGGCTTTATTCTAGCTCACTTCTAGTTTGAAGAAAACATGGCATTAAGGAAGCCTTTGTAAGGAAGAGGATAGGAAATACAACCTCACTCATTAAAAAGCCTGTGATGGGATCCAGAGGATGAACTCCTAGGGGAATCTAACCTTCCTTGGGAAGGGCTACCTCCAGGCATGCTGATCACTCTAGAAAGCTGCTGTGGCCAGCAGTGTTTCATTCCAAAGAAGAGAAGACACCTGGGGCTCCAGTTTTCAAATCACATGCTTCCAGCTTCTGGGAATGTTTCAGGACTTTTTAAGCATCTGTTCCATCCTGTTCAATAAATACCACCTGGATTAACTTGTAAGCTACCATTCTTAAGCAGATGCACTTCAGTCTCTGCAGATCTTGTCATTTGCATGTGATGAGCAAACAGACTGCTTTTGTTTCATCAATGAGATCTCTACCTCACTCCATGGAAATCTGTGTGTCTGAAGTCAGTTTATAAGCATATAAGAGACTGTAAAAATGCTGTAGCAGAGGCCAACAATGCTGTTTATGAAAACATATTGAAGCCAGCCATGCCAAATTCCTCTAAAGCTTTCTCTCAGTCCAGATTTCTTCCTTTCCTAGGGAAAAAAAATCCCACCAGGCTTTTACTCAATATGTATGTAAGTTTTAAAATGCAGTGTAGACTGAGCTAAGGAATTATCAGTTGCACTCTACTAGATCTTGGATGTGTAGTATTTAATCTTCTTTGTTGCTATCATGTATTCCTAAATTACTTTTAGCCATTCTAAGAGATTTTTGGGACTAACCCCTGCTCTTTGCTTTATTAATGCAAATCCAACAAAACTTCACTAAGACTAATTGAGTTACTGAGAGATACCCTTGGGTATCTGTGGGTGATTACAACTTGTCCTTGGCAACCAGGTTTTTTTGTACTTCATTCTCTTCAAATTGTTTTTGCTGATGCAGTTAGTTTCATTACAAACCAATAAGACTTACATGAATAAGGATTAGAGGGCTCTGATCTTAAATTTTACAAATCATGATTTCTTTTATTTCCAGTACTAGCAGCTGCACTTGTATCAAAGGTCAATTAGAGTGGACACCCTGCTAACCTGCTTGTCCTTAGATGTCAAAGGTGAGAAGGCAGGGGCAGCTGCTCAGTGAGGTAATCAGGATCAGTGTAAGTAGTGATGCTTTGCTCATTTTGTTAATCAGGGGGAAAAAATGAGCAGTGCTCTGTGTGCCAAATGTCGTGGCACCAAGCTAAATGTGGATGCATTAAGCTAAAACTTCTTTCTGCCATGTTTTCTAGGGATTTCAATGCAGGCTTGAGTTTTGCTAAAATTTGGTGCAAATGACCTTGTTTATACCTAAAACTTGAAGGTGTGAAATCAGCTCTTTAAGAGGCTCTGGAGCTTGTGATGTTCTGTGTTTTTAGGGCAGAGCTCTGCATGACCCCTGTGCCCATGGGATCTGGCCTGACAATGGTCTAATGTCAGGCCAGCTTTCTCCATCAGTGCTTTCACACTGACCTTGGCACTGCAAGGCAGCTGTGCTCCATGAGAATTGAAATGCCACTTGCATCCCTACAAGTCTTGCTCTTTTGTGGGTGATTGATCCAGCTACTGAGATGAAACTAAAGGGCCATTAACATGTAGTTGTAATAATCACCCTCTTCTCTTCAAGAACATGGATAAACCTGAACAACCTCAAACTTAGATGGTCCAGAGCTCTTCTTGGCAGTAGTATTAAGGAGTAAATCAAGATTGGCCAAGATCCTGTGCAAGTTGAATGGTCTTATACTAAAACAGGACAGACTAGATTTTTAGTTGGACTTGCTGGTCAAGAATGCATGGACTGTGAATGTGTGGAGGAAAACAACATAACACTGATCCTTGCCTCCTCCTAAAATTCCTAAAATTTTGTCTTCTCAAAAGTAAGTTTAGGTTCCCTTCCATTTTCAGAAACCTTCTTTAGGGCTGTCTTTGTCCTTCTGAGATTCAGTCCTGTTTTGAACATTTTTCTGCATAAGTACTTAAGGTGTCTATCTCACTTTCAGAAGGGAGATGTCATCCTGGTCATTTTTTAAATTAAGATAATAGCAATTCTTTTTTTTTCAGTCCATTCATTTGACCAGTGCCTTGGCATCAGGTTCTCACTAGTGGCTTTTCAGTGTAGTGCTAGAGAAATGGGAGTCTGATCTCAGGAGGTTGGGGAGTCAATTAAATAAACATGGCTCCTGTTTGAAATCAAAGGGGAATTTTCACTTAAGTGATGAAAGGTCAAAAGAGCTTCTGGAAGACTTCCTGTAAAAGTAGCAGACTGATATTCCTGTGAGTAAAGCATAGTTTTATTTCCTTTTATATGTCCACTTAATGAGGATGATACTGAGTTGGATGAAGAGACCATTAAAAGGGAACTGTCTTGTTATCCAGTCACTTATACATGTTAGCAGTTTTAGAATTAATACCTGTTGAAGGAAAAGACCTGGACTATACTGAATGGACTCAGCACTCAATTTTCACAGAAAATAAAACCTCTAGCAGTAAAAAAACCCCAACAACACCAAAAAAAAAAAAAAAAAAAAACCACACAAAGAAAAAAACCAAAACAAGCTGGAAGGGTCTGCAGTGTGCTCTTCTGTTTGTATCCCTACTCTCAAGTGTGAAATTGGGCTATTACTGTTTTTAGCACAAGCTCATTTTGTGGTTGGTCATACAGTCTCCTGGAAGAATGGTGAAACTTGTACATTCCTGCTGCTTCCAAATAGCACCATAACAAAACCAGAGCTGGTTATGCTGTTTTGGAGAGCCTCACTTGGGCTATTGCATCCAACAGGATTCACTGTACCTGAAAATGATAATGGAGATGTAGAGATCTACAAGCAAGTGGTGGCTTGACACAGTTTTGTGTGGAGGGGGAGTGGAAAAACAGGAGAATAACCTTTTGTTTAGACAAATTAATATGGAATTAGGTGTAAAACCAGCTTGAGCCCTCTGTCATTTTATCTCAAATATGAGAACAGGGGCATGTTTCCCTTTTGTTTCTTTTTTTTTGTTCTGATGCTTGACTTCCTTAGTTCTTTAATACAAACTCTGCAGCATGCAGGAGTCATTGAGGAGAAAGGTGCCACTTGGCAACAAATCAGTCTGACCAAAATCTGCAGTTAAAGGCCATACTGGTCTCCATCACTTACATTATTTTGCTTTCCTTCTTTTAGTCAGGAATTCTTTCTCCATGGATAGATAATCCTTGACTGTTCCCCTCGGTGTTGTAAGCACCTTCCTCAAACACTGGTTGCTGCTGACACCTGTGTGGCAGAGCAAGTTCTCCCTCTAGATCTTGTATGAAAATACGTTCACTAATTGAAAATGTACTGTTTTTCCATCACCAAAAAAAACTATAGGGTCTGTTGCTCCATGAAGGAGTGTGCATGCAGGCCTAGCTGTCTCCTCTTGAAATATTTATATCAAGGGAAAATACCTGGGCACTGAGAATTTCTGCTCTTGGCTGTTTATGCTATGTGGAAAACATCCTCTGTGTCACAAACCTGTTGAAGTTACTGAGAGTGCTGATCATGCAGACTTGGCTGTTTGCAGTTTCTCCAGGAAACAGATGTCTGCCTTGTGGTTCTTGTGGGCACAGGGAGAACAGGATACAGGTGGAAGAGTCTCTCTTTTGGCCCTCTTGGAGGATTGTAATTACGTGTGACAAGGAACTCTGAGGCTGTCAGCTCCTCGGAGGAACTGGCAGTGTGAAATGGACTGATGTGTGCATGCAAGTCAGACCTCACTGATTTTCCATTCTGTGACATCAACACTCCTCTGACATTAGTCACTTCCCTGACTTCATTTGTTGTTTTCCAGGCAAGCAGCAGTTCAGAAAGACATTGTAGTCTTTTGTATTAATTCAGACTTTTATTACTTTTGTATTGCATTTGCTTCATTTACTGATGCTGGCAGTGGATGCTCAATTTGTGATGCAGTTATTGTATAAAAACCTCATCTCTGTGGTGAGAGTCCTTGAAATCGAGCTTTTGATGGTGGATTGAAATAAAACATGCTCTTAATGAATGGACAGTTCCATTGTTAAGATTAGATGAGACTTCTTCCTTTATGGTAAGTGGCACCCATTAATATCTGTATTTCCTTAGAGGGAAAAACCAGCAGTGTAAGTAGAGGCACATTGACACAAGAAGTCTTGTTGAATTGTGGTGATTTAAAATAAATAAATAAAATGTGAAATAGCTTTTAGATTTATTTCTGAGTTATGAGTACTGAAATTAACTTATCAGTATTCATTGCTGTTATCAATAATGAATATGTAAGTTGCCTTTCTGGAAAATCCATTACTAGGTTTGCCCTTCTCGTTCACGTTAATTTTCCTTGAAGGAATGAACAAGTGCAAATAATCAATCTGATACTTGTACAGGGAGGGAGATATTTGCTGCAGCATTCAGCCAGTTGTAATTTTCTGTAGGGGTTTTTCTTTTTTGATATAAGCACATTGAAGGACTTCTACTACCTAAAATGTGAGTTCCCATTGCATTTTGTGAGTTTGTATGAACTGACAGCAAATTACTGTGAGTTTCTTTCAAGATCTCTCCAGATTAGTTATTCCTATCCATTGGCTACTTACTGCCGTGGCATCCAAGTGCCTTTGTCAGTGGTATTTCTCTTCACAGCCTTGGGCTTTCTTCCTTTTTAGGGTCAACCCTCCACAGTTCTCTTTTGATTTGGTTCAGTTTATAGATTTTATATACTGTGGGCTTCCTATTTTCATGATGCAAAGAAGTTGCCCAAATTAGAAACATGGTGGAAGGAGCGAGGTGCTATAAAAGTTAACAGCCTCGGCCACATTGTAAATCCTCATGGAACCTTTTGCAAAATCAGCTTTGCAAACTTTTTCCTGGGTAATTCTTATTAATGGCTGCAATGTACATGCAGGCAAAATGTTCCATCCTTGAATGGGTGACCACAGCAATTCCTCTCCCCAGAGTGAGGTCAGGCAGTACATTTTATGGATGTTAGCAATGCATTACCATCAGTGCTTTCTCCATTGGAAAAAATAACTGGCTTTAAAACAAGGTAAAAACATGTTGACTCTAAAAGACAATCTCATTATGCAGCAGTGCTAACAGAAACGAATGCCACTGTTAAACCCCAGCATAAATCTCCAGTTTGTGCTGATCCTGGAGACCTTGAAATCCCATCTGATTTGTTATTTGAGGCCGTAGCTGCTCAGAAGCAGCTTTGTGCTTGCCTTGTAATTGCTCTTTATCAGGCAATTGTGTCCATTTCATAACTGCCGTGTTGGCACGCTGGCTTTGAGCTTCCAGCGATCAGCAGCTTGACATTTGACATTAAGTGCTTGACCTCTAGAGGTTAAGAGGAAGAGCTAATAATTCCTGGTGTTTATAGCACTGATTTTAGTGTATATTACTTCTCACCATCTCGCTTACATCTTCAGGCACTGTTGTAAATTTTTTCGGGTTTTAAAAGCAAATTGCTAAAGCACACCAAGCTTTGGTGCTGTGTGAATCTAATGTCTTGCACTGTAATAATTTTATCTTAGCATGACTCCTTAGTCCCTAAAATGACATGCAGGCCTAATTTTTGCCTCCCTTACTGTGGTTTTTCTAGGGGTGCAAGCCTGTCTGCAGAGCTCAGCTCGAGAACAAGAAGAGAAGTACGAAGTCCAAGGTGGCCCGCAGCGAGGGCGGCTCAACCGGGAGCAGCTGGTGGGTTTTAGTGCTCCACACAGCCTGGATTAATGACCTGGGGCTGGGCAGCTCTGCCCTTTGCCACACGCAGACGTGCAGGAGATGTAAAATTTTAATGTGGTCTTGTACAGAAAATTTGATTATGTGCAAGGTGATCCAAAGAGCCATGAACACCCATAAAGCTGTCATTTTTCTCCATTAGTGGAGATGTTGCTGTAACCTTGTCAGGGGAACGCTGTATTGCACTCTGTAGTATCACACCTGATGGGACAGGAAGTGATGTGCTTTGGCCTTCTCTGCTCAGCTTTAAAACATAGTTCTATGAGAAACCATTTCTATAAGAGAAATAGTTTTATTACTATTTGTTTCCATTTAGGGCTGTTTTTACATTTAACTGGGTTAATTCCTGGTTATTTACTGGATTACACTGGAGAATTTATTAACTGCATTGTAACAGTAGCTGTATATACTCCTGACTCATAGTTCAAACCCTGTTGTGCTGGAAAGTATTTAAACAGAAGCAAGAATTTACCACATAAACAAGCTTTTCTTGGTTGCACACTTACCCTGAAAACCTTGCCTGTTAAGTTACTGTTCTACTTTCCAGAGAGGGTTATAAATTGTAAGGGTTTTATATGCTCTGATTTTTCCTTTCCACCTTTTTTCTCTCTGTTCAGCTGTGAAGTCCTGTATTCATGCTTGTTTCTTTTTTCTTCCACACAGCTGCCTAAGTTGTTTGATGGATGCTACTTCTATTTTTTGGGACCTTTCAAAAAGCACCAGAAGAGTGACCTGCTGGAGCTGGTGAAAGCAGCGGGCGGCCAGGTCCTGGTTAGGCAGCCCAAACCAGACAGTGATGTGACACAGACCATCAACACAGTGTCCTACCACGCAGAGCCCACCTCTGACCAAAGGCTCTGCACTCAGTACATCATCTATGATGTGGCTTCCAGGTTCCAGCCAGAGAAAATCCGGCAGGGCAAGGTGTGGATGGCCCCCTCCAGCTGGCTCATAGACTGTGTGATGTCATTTCAGCTCCTGCCTGTGAAGTGAATAGCAAATAGCAGCATCCTGAGAGCAAGGCTTTAAAATGGGCTGAATCTTGGGCGGCTGGGATGCTCTGACAAGCTGCTCTGAAGCTGTGATTTCTGTTTTGGATTCAGAAGAGCTTTGAGCATTTAAGTGAGTTACTAAGGTGACTGATATGCTGGAATAAATGAACATACAGTGGAGGAAAGGATTGAAAAATGTGCCTTAGCTTATTTAATATGCTTTATTTTTGCATTGGACTTAATAAATGCTTAATAAATAATCACTGACATTTTGTAATTGGGATTTTGCAAAATGAAACCTTTTGCTTTCTTGATTTGAACTAGCCCTTTGTAGGCAATTGAGCATGACCCCATTTATGTTGTGTTTAACATCCATTGATAAGGATCTGCTGTAATTATCAAGATTTCCCAGGCCAGAAATTGTATTAAGAAAAAGATGCATTTGAACCTGTGCAGGCATGTCATGTGACATTTATTATAACTTCTTACAAGTGAATTTTGCTGGAAATTTTTCGCATGGGATAAGTCTTGTGGAAATCAGAGTTGAAGAAATGACCTGAATTCATCTGGAAGCAGACACTTTTGAGAACACTGTATTTAAATATCTTGGTCTAAAATTATCTTATTTATAAAATGATTCACGCTTGTAAACATGTAACTAGAACTCATTTCTATTTTCTGAAGGCTTTTGAGCATTGAGATCCTTATTTAATTATTATAGTAAATATTTTTGTATATTTGGGTGGTTGCTCTCATGGCTACTTTAAAGAAAAAAAAAAACAGTGATCACAAAAAATTGCTTCACTTTACACCATTGTACCTAAACAGCTGGCTCCCCTGGATCAATGTTTGATTATTTCATATTTGTTACAAAATTTCTCATAATGGCTCATAACTTATTGTCAGGATCTTATGCCCTCTTACATACCCTTATGTAATGTTTTGTATCTTAGCTTGTGAATTTCCAGTTGAGAAATGGTGTCTTGGAATAATGCACAATAAGAATGATGGTTGTGGGCTAGTACACAAGTTTTGTGTGTTTGTTTTTGTATTGTTTGTAATAATGAAACTTTTTGGTGTGCACTAAGTTTGGAGCATCTGTTGCATGAGCTTGGCTGCAGAATAAGTGCATATCCCATACATATCTCAACAGGTAAATGAAAACAATTTTCTGTGAGCTCAGTACAGCTGTGAAGATGGTGTGTCACACCAAGAGCTGTTTTTGCAGAGGAGGAGAGCTGTTTTCTATAAACATTGCTGCTGAAGGTCCTGTGCACTGTAGAACCCTTAGAAGTATTCACAGCAGGTAGAACAGGTAGAGTTTTCAATCACATCTGCTAGATTTGGGTAGCTGGAGTATCTAAATCTTATCACTTATGCTAGACTGTGATTGCTGTTCACTAAAAGCAGGGCTTATTAATAAGTGGAACAGTCTATGGGATTAATGTGGTTTGGGGTTTTGTGCAGATGAGCACTGGCAGAGAATGAGGTACCCAGTCAATACTATGTGGATTTGGGCATTTGTCTTAACATCATAGCACATCAATATACCTAATGCACTGTTCTTTCCAAAAGTAGCAGTGAATCTCTGCAAAATTCCTAAGAATGGAGCTTTTCTGCCCTGTATTAGGAAGAAATTTGACCCATCAGTAATCCTGCTCTATGTTCTAAAGTGTAGGCAGCACTTTTACAGATTCCCTGACAGATTCAAAGAAACTCGGAAAACTGCCATGAGTATTTTGGGGTTTTTTAAGCCATGCTCTGAACCTCAGCTTTGTTCCCTTGAATACAGTTGTGCTATCAAGCAGTGTTTCTCCCCAGTCACATTAAGAATGACTCCATGTCATACTGAGGAGGGACCCTTACCCAGGATTAACTTTGGCCCATCTGCTTCAGGTCTCTGCAGGAATTCAGAGTGTGATCAGCTTATGTACAGGTAGCCTTGAAGAGCCTCACAGTAGACTTTGATGCCAGAGCTACAGCAGGTGCCAAACACTACTGAAGTACTGCAAGTACACAAAACTTAAAGGTCAGTGACACAGACCCTGCTTAATTTGCCCTTTCTCATTGTTGAAAACAGAGGGATAGCACTTGATAAAAAAGCCTTGTAGTAAGCATAGATCAATCCCATTGAATGGATTTTGGCTCCTGCAAGCAAGGCTCTAAACTCCTGAAGCAAGGTAAGGACTTTGTAGGGATCATTTCTCACTGTCTCTTCTAGTCTAAAATCCAGTGTGCACTAAAGGAAAGTACTCAGAGGCAGGCTGAAAATGGGAAAGGTATTTCAGGAAGTGTGAGAGACTTGGGGTCCTGATGGCCATAATAGCCTAGCTTAGAAGCAGTGAGTAGATGAGTTTTTCAAAGAAAATCTATATTAAAGGTTAATGAAGAACTTCAGCTGTAACATGAATTTATATTAGTGTTCTACTAACCTGCATATACTTAATGTGCACTCATGAATGGGGTATTTCATTGAAATAGAGAATGGGTTGGAAGTGACCTTAAAGATCATCTAGTGGTTGTTACCTCATGTGAAAAGATAGAAGCTCAAGACTTGCATTCAGGATTGCAGATTTTTATTGATATTGATCAAAAACACTGTGCATTATGGAATGGCTTGGGCTGCAAGGGACCCCAAAGCTCATCTCATCCCACCCCCTGCCATGGCAGGGACACTTTCCACTATCCCAAGCTGCTCCAAGTCCCAATGTCCAAGCTGACCTTGAACACTTCCAGGGATCCAGGGGCAGCCACGGTTTCTCTGGGCACCCTGTGCCAGGGCCTCCCCATCCTCACAGGGAAGGAGTTCTTCCTCAGTTAATTTTCAAGCATATTTTCTTGAAAATTACCTGTTTCTCTTAATTAGTTATTAGATCTGGGACACCTGATAACACCTTCAATAGCAGCATCTGGGGTTCAGTGACAACATCAGTTTAACACCCTGAATAGTTACAGATAACATTGTTTGTAAATACTGTGAAATCTTCCTGAGAGATGTTTCAATATTTCTGCAAATGGTTCAGGGAAAAAACAGGCAACCAAGTAGAACCAAGCAGCAGTAGCTGCTTTTGCTCTCAAATCAGAAATGACTTACCTGGGAGGTGCTGTGGTTCTGTTTCTCACAGCACCCTTGTAATGATAACAAGCATGGGAGTGTCTAAAGATGTGTCTCTGGTAAAAAAGATGTCAGCAAGTGCTTCACCCAGCTGGCACCTACACAGCCTTTAGGGGGATAAAGCCCCTTTCTTCTGCTCTGTCCCAAGCTGTGAGCTGAGGTTGAACCTGACCCAACATGGTTATCCCTGATCAGCCTGGGCAAGGCTCACTGGAATGAGTGACTGAAGGGAATTAGTTCAAGGAAGGGAATCATTCTAGGCAGGGGATTGAAGCTGGTTCTGTTTCCTCCGTAGGTCTAGTGTCTTTAAGACCAAACTTTCCCTGGAGCAGTTACCTTGTGTGGCAGTCTTCCAGGAGAACTGCATCTTGGCTGATGCAATTTCTGCATTCTGCTCAGGACAAAGCTGTCTGCATGGACAGTGTGGCCTGGTGTAAAACTGCATGTTGGTGTGGGTTGTCTGGGGGGAGTGTACAAACATTGGGATCACCTGGTGCCCCTGCCTGTGCTTGCTGTGCTGCTCCCAACTCCTGAAGGCTGGCTTTGCTGCCAGAGTGGCAGAGAAGGCAAGCATCAGCTCCTCACTCCTGCCCTGCAGTGCTGACAGAGCTGCTGTGCAGGAGCAGTTTTGGCCTGGCCTGTCCTGTCCATTGGCTGAGCTGCCAGCAAAGTCTGGGTAGCAGCATCTTGGCATCTTATTGAGGGCAAGTCTGTGAAACGGTAGAAAAATTTTCCTTTTTCCTCCTTAGGCTATTTTGTACTTCAGTGCTGGAAGATCACCTGGAAATGGGGCAGATGTGATGTCCATTAATCCATTTGGCCCCATGTCCTTTTTCTCCTTTACTCCCATAAGCAGTTTGATGAAAAGGTCTGATTCTTTGATATCTAAGGGTAGTGCTTTGTATTTAAAGAGCCAACAAAGCTGGTTTAAATACCAGCTTAAAAACTACAGCAAGAGGTCTTTGGACAGCCAGATAGTACTGGCTTGGAAATGAGCAGCAATGTCTCAGTGGAACAAATGAAGATTCAGTTGTTTTTAATAGCAGTGCAGCAGTGCATCTTTTCAGACTTGTTTGATTTAAATTAATGGTAGTTTAACTAGTGTTAAATTGTCCTTAAAAGCAGAAGAACATTTTGTGTGCAATCAGATGGAGGAAGGGGAGGAAGCCTCCCCACCTTTTTTTTTTTTTTTTTTTTCTTTTTTTTTCCTATGGAGAAGATGCACTTTGTGTGTTTCAATTAAGTTCCCGGCAGGAGGGCTGGGCTGATGAAGCAGCAGAGAGCCGTCAGCTCCCGCTGCGTGTGGAGACCCCGCTGTCATTGCCTGCTCTGAGATGCCGAGGGCCACGGGAGGCTGCTACCCGGGGCTCGCCGTGCAGCGGGGCCGGGATGTGCTGCTCCACGGCTGGGAGGAGTTAGGGAGCAGCACCGCCCTCGGCTGCCTTACAGTGCCTGCCCTGCATGGCCGAGGTGTTCCAGGGGCTCTGCTAAGCACAGCTGTAGAGTTCTGAGCTCCTGTCGGGGCTGTGCCTGCTCAGTGACAGTCGCTGCAGCAGGAGTGGCTCTGCCAGCAGAGCAGTGCTGCCACGGGGGCTGCACCAGGGCAGCGCTCCCCTTCTCAAGCCCTGCAGCAAAACAGGTACACAGTCACAACAGGGTTAAAAGAGGGATTAAAAAACAGAATGTGAAGCAGCAGCTAAGCTGGCTGTCTTGCTCAGCTTGCTGAACTGATAAAAATGTACTTATTTCTTCAGCTAGTGTGGGGCTGGCTTAATTTCCTGCTAGTTTAGTGAACTGCTAATTCTCAGAAGAGCCAAACCTTTTGGCGGGGGAAGCAGGTGGGAGGCTGCCTCTTCTGGGGGCTCAGTTGCAATAGGAAGGCCTCTGAACGGAGGTTTTTGGATTGCCATACACAGCTGTGTGCTTCCCAATCCCCTGAGGGAGTCCCAGTCTCTCTGCAGGGTTTGTGCTGGGTGCTGCTGGCAGCCTGACCAAGGAAATGGTTTTTCTTGCTCTGCTGAAGTGTCAGCTTTGAGCAGCTGGTGCCAGGAGAAACCCAGATCAGCTGTAGTTTGGGTCTAGCTGGAAGTCATGGTCGAGCAAAATTTAATTC